AAACAGAGTCATGGAGTCCCATATATATGTAATTCTAATTAATATAAAATTTAACAAATAACATAGTAAACAAAATGCAACATCTTAAAAGAGAAATAATGTGGTAAACAAAATGTAGCATCTAAAAATCTTATTCACAAAAAATGATCACCACCAACTTCCCACCCATTCTTAAACAAATAAAATGGTAAACAAAATGCAACGTCTTTGAAAGGGAAACCATGACCCGTAAGGTGAATCGACCCTTTTTTAAGGTAACTGTGGCATACCTCGTCCGGAAAATTAGGTTGAAAATCTGCAATTTTTTTCTCAATCTAGGATCAACTTTTAAACATTCATAAATACACAAAGAAAATTCTTTAAATAGGACTCAAACATGGATAGAATTCGTAACTAGGACCATCAAAATAGGGCTTATTCACTCATATTTTGAGAAGTTTGAATCAAGTTATTCTTTTAATATATATGATTATATAAGTTTTATTTGGGAAATAAAACATACTTAGCCATATTTTTGAACTTTATATACGGAGTATGTTTTATTTAATACTATATTGAGCAATTTCTATTTAATAATTTAACCTTAACATTCAAATAAATTTTAATATTAATTCCAAAAAAATGAATTATGCATAGCGCGATTGGGCAAATAATAAAACATAGGAGAAACAAAAAAAGTAAAACGTGAATTTTTTTAAAGGAAGTGAAAAATGAATTTATGCGTAGGATAAACAATAAAACAAGGGGAATCAATAAAAGTAAAAAACATAAAAACGAAGTATGGAAATTTTTAAAAAACGGGAGGATTGTTGAAGAGAATGGATACCTATACCTTAAAACAGATAGGTGCTTCCCCTACACCCCTACAACCATTCCGCTACTTGGGTCTTTTAGTACTCAAAATGCTTTTGTAGAATATATACACTTACTAAGTACTTTTATATAAAATTATATGTACTCCGTATAATATATGTTTAGGCAAAGAATCAACTATCCCTCTAAACAATTGAATGAAAGTGAGGTTTCGTGCAAGAGGCTGAGTAAACTAATATAACTGAACTTAGCCTTGAAAATTAATGAATATAAACACAAAATGCTTAGAATTTGAGAATGATGATACTAGCAGCTCCTCTGTTCTAAAAATCGTTCTAGGCGCCCGACTAGTCCCCGCCTAGGCGCTAGGCGGTGGTCGGGCGCCCCGATTTTCGTCTAGGCGCTCCGAGTAATTGGTTTGCCGTCTAGGTGAATTAGTCGCCCGCCTATGGCGCCTAGTTGCCCGCCTAGAGCGCCTAATCAGCCGCCTAGGGCGTCTAATTTGTCGAAAATTACTTCACTTTTTAATTTTAATTTTCTAAATGATATACTTACTTTAACTTTAGCCATGAATATAAAGAAATGAAGTTGTAAATAAAGATAAAATCATATATGTTTGTATATATACCTAAATTTTATCATTATTTATATTTATAACATAATAAAGTTAAGTGATTAGTTATCATATACTTCGTATGATTAAATGTGATAATTATATCATTCATGTTTGTTAATGTATATGTATTTATGTATTTTATACACACAAAAATACAATATTACTTATCATATTTATGCAAAAATATAGATAAAAATGCAATTTATGTGTCTCCGACTAGTCCCCGACTAGGCGCCCGCCTAGCCGCCTAGGCGCTAGGCGCTGGGTTGGCGCCCGACTAACGCCTAGCGCCTTTTAGAACATTGAGCAGCTCGAATGAGTAGTCTCTTGTTTTCTTGATTGAATGAATGCTTCGTTTACAATAGCTTTGTTTAAATAATGATTTTTCATCCTAATCTACCAACTAACCACCCACCGAAATAGCAGGAACTTATGAACGTGCCTGGCTATTCTTTTGCTCCAAGTTTCAAATTGTGCTTATCTCTTCTAAACGGTCCATCAACCCTTGATTTCGCCGGGCTGGATCCTTCTTCTTTTTGCTGGATTTCTTCGCAACTCCTTGCAAGATGGGCCGGCAACCAATAGCGTAATTAGTGGCCCAACAATATATAAGTATTTTTTGGAAGTACATGGGGTCACGGGACCCGTGGGACCCTTGGTGGGTCCACCATTGAGAGCAACCACACAGGTTAAATAAATGGATTGACATATAGATTTTTTCAAAATATTCTCATACCTTGTAAATTACATCATTCATCATCTCAAAATAATCAGATTTTTTTGTGGGTCCTTTATTCACTAATTATTACTAGCTTCACAATAATCTTGAAATAATCTGGATTCATATTTCAATCCCGGATTATTTTGTCAAATAATATCATCAAATAATCATGATCCTAAAAACGATCCGCCACATCACTTACTTAATCCTCAAATAATCTTATGAATGGAGATGTCCTTAGAGATCATTATACATGAAATACTTAAAATATGATATCAAATTGTTACATTGGTTGCATTGGCTAATTCTGATGAAATTTATGTAGTTCTGGCTGAAGCGGCTGAAAATTTATTAAGTTCTGACTGAAGTGGCTGGATTGGCTGATTCCACTTATTTATAAAAAAATTAAAATATACATAGTATTTATTAACTAAATAAAGAAAAAAATTATATGACAAAATAGCTAAAATGATCTTCTACGGTAACTTCAGCCAATAACTCAAACCTTATTTCAACTTATCATGACATAATCCAGAGTGCAAAATCAAAAGTTACTTGTTTGGTGAAAAAATGGTTGATAAACCAAAAAACCTGGTTACGACTCTAAAATAATACTTCCTCTTTTTCTTAAAAGTTGCAACATTAAGATTTTTGCACTATTCACACACCTTACTTTGATCACGATTTTCTACTAATACTTAAAATTAAATTATTATGTATAAAATGTTACGGAGTATTAAATTTCTGTTCATGTAAATTTCAAAAATGTAAACTTTTTATAATTCTTACGAATACGTAATTAAATATAATTACAGTCGAGTTGTGCTTTTGCAAGTGCGAAAGTCAAATTGTGCCAACTATTAAAGAATGGAGGATAGTATGTTCTAATATTTTACCGAAGTATATGAAAATAATCAGCAAGAACGCCACATGCGCTTAGAGAAACTCGTAAACAATAATAGGGGCCCGTTTAATGACTCTGTTTTTCGATTTATCAACAAACTTTGATTTTGTGTTTTAAATTGTGTAATAATAAGGAAAAGTAAGACTGAAGCTACTTTTGTGACTATACCGGCATAAATTACTATAGATGGTCACTTTAACTACTTTCATGTAAATTTTTTTATTAGTAAAAAATATTTTAAGTATAATTTTTTTCATAAATCAGTACAATGAGTCAATGCATCCACCTCACCTAGAACTTCAATTTATAGGAACGTAAATTTAATTATCTCCGTCAGGTTATATGATTTCATTAAATAATGGCACGTTTTTTACTTCACAATTAAGGAGCTGTTCCGTTCACCTGATCTGAATGTTTCTGATCTGAATTTTTTAAGTTCTGATCTGATCTGATCTGAATTTTTCTGATCTGATCTGATCTGAATTTTTCTGATCTGATCTGATCTGATCTGAATCTTTCTGATCTGATCTGAATCTTTCTGATCTGATCTGAACGTTGCTGAACTGATTTGAATGTTGCTGATCTGATCTGATCTGATCTGAATGTTTCTGATCTGATCTGAATTCTTCTGATCTGAATCTTTCTGATCTGATTTGAATATTTCTATAATTGTAATTATAATTATAATTATTAGATTTATAACTGTAATTAAAAATATAACTTAAATAAAATTACAATTATAATCATAATTATAAAAAAAATAATAATTAAAATTAAATTTAAAATTATAATAATTATACCAATTACACTAATTATAAATACAGATACAATTATAAATGTAATTATATTTTTAATTATGATTAATTTTATAAATATTTTTTTGTAATTATAATTATAATATTTATCTCTATAATCATAATTATATCTATAATTACTAATTTAAATATATAATTACTCCGAAGTAATAATAATTACAAAAATAACAACAAGAACAACAATCATATTAATAATAATGATGATTATAATTATAATGACATTGTAAATCATAATTATAATTACAATTATAAATATATTATATTATATTATATTATATTATATTATATTATATTATATTATATTATATTATATTATATTATATTATATTATATTATATTATATTATATTATATTATATTATATTATATTATATTATATTATATTATATTATATTATATTATATTATTATAATATAATAATAATTTTATATTATTAACATTATTATTATATTATTATTAATAATATTATTATATTAATATATTAATATTATTAACAATAACTATAATATAATAATCATAATTAATATAATAATAAAAGTGGTAAATCATGTTTGAATTTTTTTGATCTGATCTGATCTGATCTGAATGTTTCTGATCTGATCTGAATGTTTCTGATCTGGTCTGATCTGGTCTGAATCTTTCTGATCTGATCTGAATGTTGCTGATCTGATCTGAATCTTTCTGATCTGATCTGAATGTTTCTGATCTGATCTGATCTGATCTGAATCTTTCTGATCTGATCTGATCTGATCTGATCTGATCTGAATCTTTCTGATCTGATCTGATCTGATCTGAATAAAATAAGATTAAGGAATAAGTAATAAGATTAAGACGAACGGAACAGCTTCTAAATTAAATCAGAAATTTTGCCATGATCTGATTGATCTCGATGCAGTGACAAAACCAAACGGCTTTCACATAACGCACGCCTTTGACTGTTGACCGTTGAATGGGCAAACGACCGTTGCACATTCCCACAACATAAGGCACGCCTTTCAGCCACAACACGCACCTGCACTGTCCAACGGCTAGTTTCTTAATTTCTTCCATCATATCCAACGGCTAGTTTCCACCATAATTGAAAAAACGGCTAGTTTGACCACAGTCCACGCCTTCTTCGCCCTATGTGTGTGTATATACCCACTCCCCTCCCACTGGTTCTCACCCAAATCCAACTGAGCATTCTCATCTCTTCTCTGAAATCAGCTTTAATTTATTGAGAGCTATTTTAAACATTCCTCTTCTTGGAAGCTTAGATACTGACAATAAAAGTCCATTCTTTTTTTGAAGCAAATATGAACTCTTCTTCTTACTCTTCTGGGCTAATCGCAGCTGCTCTGTTCTTCCTTCTCTTTGGGTGCACACAAGCCAGAACGCTTGTGGTCGGCGGCAAAAATAACACCTGGGCAGTCCAATCTTCTTCTTCGCTGAATACGTGGGCCAAAAAAGCCCGCTTCGTCGTCGGTGACATTCTAGGTTCGTAAATGCTGTTTCTTTATTTCTTTTCCTCGGAATGTGTGTGTGTCTATGTTACACGGAAACGCAAAAATCATCGGAAAATGAGAACGATCAACTTTTGTTAAAAAAAGTTTGTATGGACATTTAAATTTAATGAATGCTGGTAATTTGCAGTGTGGAAATCCGAGAAGGAAGGGGACAAGGTTGTGCAAGTGGAGAGGGAGGACTACGAGAGATGCAACGCATCAAAGCCCATTAGTTCACAAAGTGGGCTGAATGCCAGTGTTGTGTTGGACCACTCTGGCCCATTCTACTTCATCAGTGGATCCGAGGAGAATTGCAAGAAGGGGCTGAAGTTGACCGTGGTGGTTCTGTCTGAGAAGCACGCCGGGAAGGTGGCGTCTCCGGCGCCCGCTCCGGCACCTGCTCTGGACGACCTTCCGGCAGTCGCCCCCACCACCGGCGCGGCAGCTCTCTCCGTCAGCGTACGGGCGGGTTCTCTTGTGAAGGGGCTTTTTCTGATTTATCTTTTTTTTTGGTGCGTGTAATCCAATAATCATGATGGTTGGATTGTAATGTTGGATCGGTTTCAATTTCATTCATTTCATTGGTTTGTTATTTTTGGGATCCCATATGATAATAATAAATTCTTTCATTCAGTTTTACTAGAAGCCATTATTGCGTTTTCTTATTTGAAATTCTTATTCCAATAACACTAGTTTTAGTGCCAACCGAAGTGCATGCTATGAGTTTTGTATAAATAAGAGAAAAATATTTATCCTAGAAATGCTTTATTTTTGTACGTACTAGATCCTAAAATTATTTATACTAGAAAAATATTTATCCTATAAAGTTCAATTTAATTTTTCCTAATTGCACGATTTTGGTCTCTTAGATCCAACATTTTACGTTATTACATGTTCGATTTAAATTGAACAATCATTTCAAATTTCATCCCGGCTAGGTTTAATTTCATTTCACCACTACAACTGCAGTTACAATGACAAACAGAAGAAACATGACAATCATATAACATATTGATTGATTGGAAAATCCTTTAGAAGTGTTAGAAGAAATTGATGTACTTCGTATTAAGTTCCTACTGATATATACTCCTTTTGAAGTTCCTCCAGTTCCTCCCCTTACCCTCATGATCAAGGCCCAATTTATCATACAAGTTTACATCAATTTATCATACAATAAAAAGGACACCTACAGTTTATCCTTTATCATGGTCTTTTTCATGAATATTACTAGTACTAAATTTAATCCCAAAAGATAAAATTTTGTATGAAAAACTCTAATAATAATAAACATGTCATTTGTACTAGTAATATTCATTTTGTATCAATATTACTAGTACTAAATTTATCTTTGAACTTTTTACGAAGTATATTAATTCATGTAACTTTGAACTTTACACTCCATTTTTGTTGCAAGTCAAAGAAAATAAAACATGATATATTGATATGTGATACAAACTAATTAGTAGAGTTGAAGTATTTCTAGTGTTACAATGTCCATGATTGCAAAGAACGTCTCCATTTTGGCTCGCTTCACAAGTGGTTGCCCGTGTTAATGAAAACGTACTACTCCTTTCTTCCCTTGAAACTTTGTCAAGTTTGATCGGCACGATGATTAATATTGTAAAAACTGTGTAATTGAGATTTGTGTAATTGAGATTAATATTATCTGAAATAATAAATTATTTACTTAAAATGGAAAGTGGCAAAGTTAATGAAACAACCAAAAAAGGAAAGTATTTTATTGTAGATATACATTACCCACCAAATTTGATCCATTGCATCTTTGATTATCATACTCTGTAACTCTGATAAGTAAAAATCATATAGTGCTTCCATTTTGAAGTTTCACATTGCTCGAACTCATATTTAATACGGAGTACAATTACTTGAATTTATTTGATAATTATATTTTAATTCACTTCTTAAATATAATGCGTACTTATGAAACCCTATACTAGGGTGGGCATAGTTCAGGACGGTCCAATATTTTGCTGAATCTGTACCCATACCGTGACAACTATTGAAACAGTCTGATTCAGTTCGGTCTTCGCTAGAACTGAACCAGTTGAATACGGGTTCACATTATAACGGGGCGGTATCTTGCAATACCAATATCAAACAATATCACTTTTTCCAATTATTTAAGGGGAATTTAAAGTTTACTCATCCTCCAAAAATCCACACAATTTATCAACTTATAATTCAAATGAACTATAGTAGTATTAAACGTAACTGACAAAATATTACGGAGTAATTGAGATGTACGTTTGCGTTTACATAACTTGAGATTTGATTTGAGATGTAGAAACATAAATCGAGACAACGTATACATGTACGTTTAAACCATACTTCGTTTCACTTCGGTCCAATATCGATTCTCATTTTATGAAAACCGGTCATGACATGATTTGGAACCGCTGCAGTGCAGTTCGAAACAAAAAAAATTGAAATCTACTTCAAACTCCATTTTTCGGTACCACTCCGGTTTTGTATTTTTGCCCACCCCTACCCGTAACCAAATAAACTTGGCTAGGAATAAGACACTATATATTGCTGCAGTTTCCTATATGTGGTACAACACAGCTTTTTGTCCTGTTGGCAAGAAAAGGGGCAATTACTTTATTGCCATATTTTCATGGTTCTGCTATTCTGCACTGATTCCAACCCAACCTCCCCTCAGTCCCCTTCTATGGCAATCCACTCCCCTCCAACCCCGCTTTCATCTATTCAACCAACTCACATATCTATATTCCTTTATATACCCATAGTTGTTCATATCTTTGAAGTCCCATGAATGGAAATTTCAAGCTCCAAGTTTCTTGAACCTCCACCACCCCTTTTCCTCTCTCAAATGGTAATTAGGAATAAGGATTTCAATTGGCAATATTCACCTCATCCTCTAAATTCCCTCATTGCAACACACCTGCATTTTGTTTATTCTTTCTTTAGCTTAATTTGTTAGACTTTTCTGTATATTTGGGTGTTTTAGTAATCACTACCTCCATTTGTGTCCACTTTCTTTTTCTTGGGTTCATATGGTTTGTTTTCATGACACCCAGGAAGAAAGACTGGAAGGTTACAATAATGGGAACCCATTCTTGGAAAGGTTTCCAATAGCAGCAACTCAGAGGAGTCAATTAACAAAGAAAAGTGTGGAGGCTGCACCTTCAACCCCTGGGAGGCCCATTTTCAGCTTCAGTGTTGGGAATTTTTCCAGAAAATCTGTCCCTTCAAAGTGGGATGATGCAGAGAAGTGGGTTGTTAATGGAAGCTCTTGCCATGATTCCCCCTCTACTGCTCACCATCATGGATTCAAGCCACCAGAGTGGTTGAGATCCTCTAAGCACTGTAATGGGGTTAAGCCCCAAGAAGCAGCTGGAGAGCCAGAAGATGGTGATGATGAAATGCATTCCTACATGGCATCAGATGGAAAATCCTCCAAACCAGATGTGCTTTTTAAAGGTATAAATTAAATAAATTCCTCATATCTTGCTTCACATATTTACTATACTATACATTTTACATTTTGTACATTCAAAATGGATGGTCTAAACAATGGCCCGGACTTTCAGTCAGAACTCAGAATGATTCAAGTACTAAAGCTGAAATCTGTTTTAGATTATTTCAAGTATCTTTAAATTTTTCAAGGATATTGGTTTATTCTAGACCTTTAACTTGTGCCTCTAAAATGCAGACAAGTTCACCAGAGAACTAGGAAGTATCAAAGACAAGCCCATGAACTGTTGTGCAACATCAGAGGTTGTTCATCCTGAGGTTGTCAATCTGAGAGACATAGGAACATCAATGACGCCTATCGCCAGTTTGGCTCCATCGAAATGCCACACTCCGGTCATGATCCTATCGCCAGCAGGACACAACACACCTGCCGATCGGTCCGGACCGCTTGGTCCATCAAACTCAAGCTCTGCCAGCACAACACATATAATGATGCAATTACAGGAAAGCCATTTGGCAAAACTACAGCTCGGGATGATGCATCAGGATTCGACCCTGACATTGAATTGGAGCACCAGGGAAGAGGAGGAAGATGACGTATCGAAGAGCTTGAGACACTTCGAGGCGAGCAACGAATGTCAGGGAGTTAGCATACCCAAGCCTAGAGAAGCTTGGGATGAAGAGGCTTCTAAGTGTTGCCTAAGGTACACACCTTAATTTCCACTTGCATTGTTTGGACTAAAAGCATAAAGTATTGATACAATTTATGAATTTAATACCTCAGATCTTGAATAAAATGAATTAGTACCCCAATTTAGTATACTTGAATGTCTTAGTACCACTGGAATTCAGACCAAATTCATCTTATCTGGTGTAATAGTATAAATTACACATATGTTCCCCAAAGTATAATACATTTATATGCTATGAAACAAAGAATTCACATATTCATCTTTATCAAACTCAAATCTCGATTAGTCTAACCAGTTCTGAAAGAAACCAAATATTTGTAATTCTAGTTATTAGAACAGATCACAATTGCACTAACTTAGTTACAACCTCATCTGCCCCATAAAATAATGAATTACATACCCATATACACTCTTGTTATGGGACCCTCAGCCTTGCAGGGCCAATGAGTACCAGGCTGCCATTAAATACTTCTTTTCTTGAACTCACTAGAAATTTACCTAATCAAGTCATATTAGTTTGGCATGAATTTCAAATTGCACCACCCTCAAGCAATAAAATGTAAGTAATTAGGGTATGTTTGCAAACAATTAAAAAGTGATTTTCTGCTTTTAGTTTAAAAAACTGATATAAGTGTTTTCAAGTGACTAACTTCTATTTAAACTAAACACTTAAAAGTTAAAAGCTAGAAACTGTTTTTTTTTTCTTTTTCTATTAAACAAAAAGCACAGATTTTATCAAACACTGTCAACTTTTACTGTTCAAAATCAAATCTTGTCAAACACTACCAACCTTTACCATTAAACGTTTTCTTCAAAATCACTTTTTTAAAGCAGAAGCAATCGAAAACACTCCCTTAAGCTCATTTAGCTATTGAAGCTCCTATAAATTAAGTTGAAATAATATGTCACAGATATCAGAGAGAAGAGGCCCAAATTCAGGCATGGGTGAACCTCCAAATAGCAAAGGCAGAAGCTCAGTCCAAAAAGCTAGAGGTTTAATATTCTACTTTCTGACCCTTGTTACTAGAACTTCTCTGTTCTTGATAAATGAGGTAAAAAGTGTCAAATAATGCATTGTTTGATGACATTATTAAGGTGAAAATACAAAGGATGATATCCAAAAAGGAAGAGAAGTTGATGAAGAGGATGGCAATAGTTCAAAGGAAGGCAGAAGAACTGAGGAGTGCAGCACAGCTTCAACATTCTGAGCAGATGCAGAAGGTGAGTGAAAGGGCGAAGAAGACGACGGCCAACCGCTTGCGGCCGCCGCTGAACATTGATATGTCGCCATCTTCCCGGGGTGGCCCGACTTGCTGCAGTTGTTTTCCTTGCAACAGCCATTATTACTTGTAGCAGTGTATAGTTGCAGTCTTACTGCATGTGTTAGTTGTTCTATCCTTTCCTGTCCTATGGTCAATTTGCAATCAGTGATACATTCTTTCAATGCCCCCCAAGAATCTTCGGTATGCTTGGACCACAGGGGCAATAATAGGAGATCTTGATCTAGTAACTACATACAGTCATATTATTATTGACCCAAGTTTGGTTTGTAGGCTGTAGCCTCTTTTATAAAAACTTGAAAATTTTAAAAGATAAAAAATGTCTTTTACATAATAGTCAAAACATTAAAAATGAAAAAACCAAAGTCGATAAAAGTATCCCTAACATAATAATTGAAGTACTAAATGTGACAAAAATATTAATATTTATCTGATATATAATGAGGTTAAGTGATAAGTACTACAGAGTAATATATTATTACATGTGAGGGTTTGATCAATCATGCATGTTAATGTGTTGTCTATATTTACATACACAAATAAATACGATATTGATGCTCATATTTGTGCAAAAATGTTGAGAAAATATAATTTCCATATTCTCAACTACTCTCGGCCTATGACCCCATTTAGTTATGTTGTCCGTTTGATGATTCTGTTTTTCAACTTAGCTGATTTATAATCAACTTTTGTATCAAACTAAACCTTTTTGCATTTTTTTATTGAATAAAAAATATATTTTCTCCGTATTTTTTGTTTGCTGCACTTTTCTTTTATGGATGTATTTAAGAATTTGCTGCACTTTCACTTTTGTTAAGTTTTTCCTTTTAAAGTACTCAACTACCCTTACTTTTTCTACTTTTTATCTTTTCTTTTATACTTTTCCACCATCTCTCCTACTTTTTCTACACTATTCATTACTCTACTATTTCACTCTTAAAAATGTGACTAACACCTATTGTAGCAAACAAAAAATATACTTGAATGGAGTGTATTTGGTACTTCGTTAAACACCCTTAAAAAAGTTCGGTAGATTTGATCACTGTTAAAAAGAGTATATATTTGTCTAATTGAAATCATCCTATTTCCCTGAAGAGTTGGTTAATTTCACAATTTGATCAACTGCTACAAAACCTTTTTCCATTTTTTCATCGAAACAAATTTTGTACGCAGTATCTACATTATATTATTATTACTTTCTAAATATTTGGTACTTCGTTAGAGTACATAATAAACCTTACCCATCTTATTCCATTCATAAAAACAGTAACCATTAAGTCTGGTTTGGAAACCTTTTTCTGTCTAATAATATTTTTTGTTGAATACTGAACTTCAAACTAAGCAAAGGTTAATTGTCATTGATGGATTGACATAGTTTAAGTAAAATACGCAAAGGTTAATTGTCGTTGATGGATGGATTGACTTGGTTTAAGATAAAGTGAACTAAAATATATGTAAACATAATTTTTGCCCAATTCAAGCATTTAGCATGTACAACCGTTTCAACTTCAAGTATATACTCCATTCGTTTTTCTGAAAATTCTTCTCACTTATCTTTTTGAAACGTTCCAAAAAATCCTTCCAATTTCTATTTTTGGAAAGTTTTGCGTGATTATCATTCATTTACATTTTTTTACTCAACCATCAACATACATTTCTACTTTATTTCAACTTTCCTAAACTCTGATCCAAGTCAAACCGTGAAAAAATTTATAACAATGATGGATCGCAGTATATGTTTTGGTAAGTTCAGTAGATTTGATCAGCAAACTAATCAAACAATTTTGTCACTTTTCCATTTAAGTAATTATTTTATGGTTTTTATTATTTCTCTTTCCACTGCACAAACTTTTATTACAACATACTCTGTATTAAGTTTATTATTTCACGTGATCAGCCGAATAGCCGATCAAACTTGACAAAGTTATTAGGGATCATGCTCGGGGAAAGTAATTAAGAACATAGTACACTACTGACTACACTACTCGGTTTGAGATGTTTAAGGATGACACCCCATCCCTGAGGGTCCCCTAACACCGACCAGACGGCACGATGGGAGGATATAAATTGGACTATAATCATAATCTGACAGATAGAGAGTTGGACTACGTTCCTGGTACTTGCAGAGGCCGTATGCATTTTTAGCATAGTAATCTCTCATCGCAGTTGCCGGGAATTAAACCCGGGACCAAACCCTTATGGCACTCCCTCGCTACCAGTTGAGCTACGCCCACCGGTTTGAAATGTTTAAGCTAAGGTGTGCATCTACTACCATGTTTGAGTATTGTTTAAGCTAAGGTACAAATATAAAGTAATGAAGTAAGACAGCTTTAGAAACGTAGGTGTGCATCATGAGTTTCCAAAAACAAGTTCGATTATCATCAGAGGCCGGGTGTGGTACGTTGAAGCAAGCTGGCTATAGCTAACACGACAAAACACTCAAAAAAAAAAAGCTGAAAAGGGGATCGATGCATGCTTTGCTTAGAGAAAGAAGAAGAAAATTGAAATTGGTGTTCTAAGATTTCCCCGACAGCACTGTTTTTGTTTGCTTGTATGTACAGCAGAAGTAGCAATTATACTGTACTGTGGTGTTGGAATCACGAGATCGTTTCAGATTGTATTCCCATTCCTAATCCATACTCAGATACTACTCCCCCCTCTAGTCTCTATATATAGGCACGCTCTGCTACTACGTAACGTAACAATGTGTTTTCACACATCAAACGTTTTCCTTAAATGGTAGCAAGCTAAGCTTAAGCCGGGCACGCGCAACATGACTACAAGCATTGATTTAGTTTAATCAAATGGAATTAAACTGAATTGAAATGGGATCTATATAATTTGGTTTGAATTTGATAGTATTTCTTCAAAACCGTATTAAATCGAACTAAATCACAATAGATAAAAACCGAACAAAACCAAACCGAACTACACAAATTCAATAAAATCTTCATATATTATTAAAAAAAATCAAACTGAACCCAATCAAATTAAACCGGACCAGAAAATATAACGGTTTTGCTTTGGTCATTATTCTCCCAATCCGTTCCAAATTGAATCGAAACCGATAAAAAACCGAACAAAAACCGATATGTCGACCAATATTTGAAATAAACACACTTTTGTAAACACACTTTTGTACCAATTATTTCGGCAGATTAAGCCCATTCAATCAATTTTTGTAAACCAATATTAATAAACACACTTTTTAGTAGCTTTAAAATAATATTATGAAATAGTATCAATATCCATATATTTCTTATGATTACTACTACGCTTTCATTGTTCTTTTATTTTACTTCGATTAATATATTTGTTACTATTTCTTAAATATAAAATAAATAAATAAATAAATAAATAAATAAATAAATAAATAAATAAATCGTCGTAAAAAACTATTAAAGGTCTTTTTTGCATTTTTGGCCTTTCAGTAAGTCAGACAAAAAAGCCAATAAAATTAGTGATAGGTTGTGATCCAAACACCCCTAATATGTATCAAGACGACCATTTTAGAATATATGGAGATTGGAGGGTGAAACAAAAGTAAACCTAATTTTGTTTTGCAAAATTGCGCGTTTATTTTATGTTTCTAAATATTAAAAAAAATAAAATATAAAAAATAAAAAGTTATGTTTGTAAATTGTAATGCATGTTGGGATTGTTTATATAATTATACACCTAAATGGCTAAATAAAGTTTGTACTCTTCCTACATAATTTTAGAACAGCGTACTGCGTACTCTATAAGATACTCGTACTTTTTCTTTTCTGTTTTTGCTAAATTAGTTTTTTTTGGAAGAGTTCGGCTTATATTGATAACAGATAATTCAGAGTATGGGTCAAGTGATAAAAAGAAATCTGACAACCGTTATCCCGCGAACCAGATTCGGAATTAATCACCTCCAAAGAAGCAATATAATTCACTGAAATCCAAAAACGGTCACCGTATTCCTCTCATACCCCACATCTAAAATCAACGCCTTACAACCACGAACCCAAAAGCAAAAACAAACAGCATAACAGAAATAGCAATCACTAAAACAGCGAATAAAACAAAAGATAAAAAACTTCTGTCGCAGCCAGAACACTCGAACAGTCCCTCGGACATGCGGCCTCCATACTCCTGTCAGCAGCTTCGGCGGGCTAAAAGAGCAAAGTCCGCCTCCTCCCCGTTTTTTGTCCCACCCAAAGCCATATTGTCCTCTTTTGCTCCTTCTTTGTTTGAGTCTCCGAGATCTTCCTTCTCTTCGAAACCTCTTCTTTTGGCTCCTCTCCTCCTCCTTTGGTAAAACTTTGGGTTGATTCAGTCGTTGCCTCTTTCTCTTTCTCTCCAATCTTTTCTTCTGATTTAAATGCCCCCGTATATCCACCCGTTCTGCCAGAGCTCGATGAACGCTCTAAGAGCCACTTATTACCTCCTGTTGGGCTGGTCTTCACCCCGCTTCCTGCTCTATGATGAATTCCAAACCTTTTTTCTCAAACTAAGCCTTCTTCATAATTTAAGGGACATAACTTATCTGAGTGTCCAATAACGCCACAAATGAAGCAAAAATTGGGTAGCCTGTCATATTTGAAATCTACCCAAAAACTTTTATCATCTTTTTTCAGATTTTTCCCCCTTCTTCAGCGATTTATCCATCTTCATAAGAACCCTAACCCGCATATATGGCTCCAATTTATCACTTTTCTTATTATCATCATATTCAATAAATTCCCTTATAAAATTTCCCACACGTCTGGCAGTACCCAGATTAACAAGACTCAGTCTCATTTAAAATAATTTTGTGTGGGATATCATCAGACATAACTTCTTTTAAAATTAAGAGACGACGCTCAAACTGCCAAGGACCTCCTTCCAGCACACGCATCATATCAAAACGATGATTAAAAGTAAATAGGTACCTCTTTTCACCAATTTCTTTTACCGACATACCCTTCCCCGGCCTCCAATTTGACCTTACAGTCCGTAAGCACCTGACCAATCATCGGAAAACCCGCCGCAGCCACCTCCACCGGAACTCCCTCAGCCTCAACCTCATCAAGGTTCAACTCCTCCTCATTAGCCTCGATCGCCAATTGTTTATATCGATCAACAAAGTTTTTCATGCTCCTAATTTAAACCTCCGCCGACGCATTGCTGCTGGAAACCGCCTCGGAAGCTCTACGCTATCAGAACTGCACCGTCCTCCTAGCCTGATCGCCGAACTCGCCCCTTCCCTTGCTTCTGAAACCGAAATAAATAGTCAAAACCACCTCCTTCCCCACCAATCCGATTGTCCACAGCCCTGACTCAGACAGCACTACCCAAATCACCCAATCAACACGCCCTTCGATAGACTCGAAGGCGGACGAAAAAAACTAGGGGTTGCGTGAGGCAATCCTAGAGAGAGAAAGTCAAAACCGCTGAGATTCTGCGTTTGCTAAATTGGTTAAAAAGATTAGTAGTTTAACCACAATCGTCTTATTTTCTTAATTTCTTTAGTTGAGTAGAAAAGCATGTTAAATACTTCGTACTACGTACGGAGTATAATTTAAGATAATTTTTTTATTTATTTTTTAAACTCTAGGGCGTCTGGGGTAGAGGGTCTGGGGGGGACCTGGAGTAAACTAGACTGAAACCCACTCCATTGAGTTTCAAACCCGAGACCTCTCATAAGGAGAGTGAGTCGACGACCAGCTAAGCTGGACCGCTTCCTCATTTGAGATAATTTAATTTAGGAAATTTCTACCGTACCTTTCTTAATTTAAGAGGTACCGGTACCCAGGTTTTGTAAGCCAATCGAATTATATTATTGTGCCACATCACCATCCTATATTAATATAGCTAGTAAAATCTACGGAGTATAATTCTTTATTATGTCATGCCGGCAAATTAAACCCTGAGCCCTGAAAGGTTGCATATCAGAGGGTGTGAAACCGCCGACGCAACAAGGAAGAAGAGCCTAGAGAGGAAGGAAAGCAGAAAGAGGCGGTTATCTGGATGTTTTTCGCCGCGGGGCCGCCATGGAGTTGTCGGGCCAGCCTGTAGGTGTTGGCTGAAAATTGTTGCTAGAAGCCTGCAACTCTGCCTGCCCACGAGAAGAGAAAACCCGTTGACCGCTGGAGAAGGAGTTTTAGATGAGAACTTCCATCGTTGACAAATAAAGTCCGCCTTTGATTCTCGCCTTGAGAAGTTGAGCGCACTACTATGCCAACAAGTCATTGTCTATCTTTTTCATCATGGATTCATCGAGCAAATATGGATAGGAAGACGCGGTTAAGCATGGAGGAAGCATGACTTGGGTACGTGCTCCACACTGCAACTATGGAAGGCCGATGGTGATGATGCACCATACAAAACAAGAGCCTTTTGCAAAAGGACTCAAATGCAAATAATTGTAATTACTAAAATTAATTATTTTTTAGTAATTAATGGAGGTACGGTAGAAGGGCCCTTTAATTTATCCAACAATTTTGAAACCTCTTTGAGCAAACAAGGTTTGCCATATTTGAGTATTTGACCTTTTCCCACACCGGCTCGAAATATCATGTGATCTGCTTATTCTGCTCTACTACCTCCGTTAGATGATTGCCTTTTTTAGTTTAACACAATTATTTATAAAATGATAGAAAAATGAATGTAGTAATTGAAATTTGAGTAGAATAAAATAAAATGATATGAATCACAAAATCCTTGTCAAAAGAGGAAACATTACATTCATTTTGGGGCAATTCTAAATAGAAAGTAAGACAACCAAAATGAGACGGATGATGCTTCTCATTCTCTATGTTTTTATTTTTCTAAAAAGAAAAAAAACAATCTCCAATTTGTAATTGCAGCCGATCATTGTGCTCAATCAAGTTAAATAAACACAAAAAGCTTTAGTTTTACAAGTACATAGATTATAAAGGGAGACACGCATAATCATCCTCAGAGCTCCAACAAACTGTTGAGGCTACATTGTTAATAAATCAAAACAAGCCCTCAGTAAATTCCTGGTATTATCCGGTATGGCACCTTTTCACAGTACAATTTCCAGAACTTGCCATACCTGCAGTGTTCATCCAGCATTAACATTACATACACAGGATCAATAGATCAAGAAAAAATATCATACGGAGGGAGTATCTTATTTTGCTCTTATTCCCGTTTAAAACTACACTTGTTCATAAACTCCAACCTTTGAGGTGGAGATGGGGGGGGGGGGGTCTGACATTAGCTTGGTAATGTTATGAAGGTAATGAGAAATTGTCTAGTTTGTTTCAGATTTGTAGATTACCAAGATAATCTCTTATTAGTGGGCGGCTACCTCCATGTAAAAAAATGGGGTAATCAGATTACCTTGGGTCTTTTTAGGTATTGTAAGATTTCTTTGGTAATATAATAATATTCCTTGGTTATCTTGTACCGTTTTATTTGCTTTTAAATTCCATTAACCCTCCCCCCTCCCCATGGATAACTTCATACACACATCAATAAGCACCACTCGAAGATTCAAATATTTTTTTATGTAAAAGGCAGGCGAGCTTACTTTGATCTGCACCGATCATCATCCCTCTTGGCCCGATCAAAGAGTAGGATGGTGAGATACACAACATAAAAATAAGGAAGAACCTGCAAACACATGGAGGGAAGAAAGGCAAAGGGACATGACGTTTCATAGAAATAGGTGATGTTTGAAAAGGAAGGTGTGTTCTTGTAATATAACACTTAAAAGAAAATAGTAAAAGGCACATCATCGTCCTATCTTACGTGATTGAAAAGAGCTGGAACCGTCCAGAAAAATGCAGCGAATATTTCAGGGACATAATGGAAGTGCCGAGCTAAACCCCACCTGAAAATCCATTTAAGATGCTATATTAATTCCGGATTGAATGTGTCCTACCAACTACAATCAATAGCAGTGGTTCATTATCAAAAATTCATGGGAAGACAAACAGAAAACACATTTGATACGATGAAACCTCTGTTTCAAATAATAACAATAAATCCATCAAAAAATAGCAATTACAAAGAGAGAAAAGAGGTCTACCATCCTGATGTCAGCAGAAGGCTCGTCTTCGTCTCACCCGATTCTGTTTTATAAGAGGCATTTATCTACAATAGAAAAGATTTGTTTGTCATTAGATTAGCAAATCATTACGGTGGGAGCAAAAAACTTGTTGAAACCAAGTCCCAGTTGTTGCGTTCTTTTTACCTTTGTTGGGGCTTTTCCCCAAACAGTGCATTTACCATTTGTCCTACGGAATTCTTGCCTCTGCCTATCACAATCATAGTTGATATATATGCAAACAATGCCAGCAAGGAGGATGGAAAGTGCAAGCTGCAAGAAAACAATGATGTGGCTTGTTAAAACCATGAAAGTGGGATTTTTGTTTAACTAAGATCTGCAGATTCTAAATGCCAGTTTGTATGAAGATTTTCGGAGGGTAAGATTGTGGATAATAAAGTCAAGATCTTCATATATATATATATATATATATATATATATATATATATATATATATATATATTTGAGATTTTATCAAAATTAAAAAAATCAACACTATAATACCATATACTTCGTATAACTGCGTAACAATTTAATCTCCTTTATTCCTTTTTATGGAACATTCTGTTTATCAAGATATAGACTAATTCCTCGAAAGCCCTCCAATTCAAAAGTCCCCCCAAACCCCTTCACCAAAGTCCATACAGATCCTAATGGAACAGAAAGCAAACCTGAAGTCCAAGATCAACAGGATGATTGACAAGATACATTCCAGGAGAGGTATAAATTGATGGAACCCAAACCAAGCACCCCCAACATATATAAAAACCAGCTACATAGACAAACACGAACATACCAGAAATTGTTAAACCATCCATATTTGTTCAAATATACAAAATGATGAAAGCTGGGAGATTAGAAAGTTATGTACTGAGAAGTATTTGTGGAATAGGAAAGAATGAGAAACAGTCAAACATAAAACCTCTGTCATGAGCAATATCCATTGTGTTCCAGTACCCAGCTTCCCACCAGAAGAACTTTGTTACGTACACCAACATCAGTACAGTATTCACAAGCATGGAATCAGCAACTTTTCCATATTCTTCATACTGGGAAGTCCATGATGAACAAACATTAAAAAACAATGATCAATTTTGGATCATCTGCTTTATAAATATGATTTCGAGAACATTAGTATCTGGTCACTAGGGTGAAGTAATGTTCAAGAAATATGCACCATGCATGTACCACATCACCAAAAGTACCTAAGATAATTAAAAAGATATAAATATGGTAAATAGGCAAGTTTTTATAAAAAGTCAGAGATGAAAAATGTTTATTTCATTTCATTGTCAATGATAGTTTAGATGTTTCACCTGTTTTATGCAGTAAGTCACAGCTAGAACTGCCCAAGACATCATGCCGAATCTGCAGTTTGTGAAAACTTTGATATCAAAGTGTTTGCCAATACGAGGATATAGTTCCATCCCCTGCATTTAAAAAATATAGGGACTTCAAATTTACGTTATTATTAAAATAATAATATACAGTTGCTTCCAATTAGGCAATTATTTCATTGGTACTTCGATAGGTTCTTTTAGAAGTTCTGTATTTAGGTATTCTGCCAATTAATTTTGGTGGCAATAAGAGAATAACTATGAGTAGGCATCAATGAAGAAAAGAAAACATGAGTAAGGTAATAATAAATAATAGGCTTAAATATGTTTTTAGTCCCTGTAAATATGACACACTTTGTTTTAGGTCCCTGCAGAATATTTTATTTGTTTTTCATCCCTGTAATGTGCACTATATTGTTTTTAGTCCATCTCTAATTTCAAAAATACTCTATTTACATAAAAAGTTATATTCAGTTGCATAAATCTACTAGAAATAATTAAATTTATCCTTTTATATTTTTTAGGCTAATACGAGAGTTAAAACAGTGTAAAACAAAGTATTCATATTTTAAAAATATTTATATTAAAAACCTTCTAAAAATAAAATTAAATACTTTTTTATTAACATGACAAAAATTAGAGGAAATCTATTAGTCAAAGTTATTTGGAGGTTTATCGGAGGTTGTTATCATCCATGATGGACTCAAAAGACAAAATAATAAATTTGACAAAGCAGCAAACAGTGGCAGCTAGATCGTGAACTCAAACAAGCTTACCCAGTAGAAGTCAACAATTATGTTTCCTAATGAACCAGAATCAGAGGAGGACGGTGCAACATGACCCTATAATACACCAATTCAATGCATTAGAGAGGTATTAATGCTTAAACCTTAAATTCAACAGCTGAAATAATAAATAGGTATAACACTAACTTTAATGTATAAGAAAATACAAAAGATAAAGCTCCCAAAAATGAGTGTGGAATAGATCTCTCCCAAATGATCATAAACAACTGCAGGATTGAATATCCCAAACCTGATCGAAGAAAACATGGAAATTATACAAATTAAATGGAGCGCTTGGAAACGGTTATGGACATAAAATAGCATTGGCAGGAACTTTCCCTTTAAATAATAAAGGAGTGTGAATTCATATGCAATCAAACACACTTACACACCTAGTGTTATCAAATAATTTTGGAAAAGACTTACCACCAAAGGCTTAAATATGTAGCCAATGTCACTGCATATGCTAGCACACCATTTGCCTAAACTCGTAAAGAAAATAAAATCAGTGCACCCAAGAAATAAGCAATGCAAGAAAGTAACTTAGATAGTAGTAATAATACTTTGCAAAATCTAATCAACTAAGTGATTGATCAGCTTAAAAAGCTCAAAGCATTATTACCAAATGCATACCTTGTAGACAGGCCTGTTTCCGGTGGGAGAAATTGGTCCCTCAACCCGTTTTCCGGGCAATAGAAGCTGAAGAGCAGCCTCAAAGACTGCATAACAAGCAATAATTTGGCAAGAAATTGCCGTGGGTTTCGGCCAAATATTGAGGAATCCTCTCAGGCCATTCTGATATAGGAAATTCCACGTTTGCAATGCAGAACCATCAGCATGTACCATAGTATACCACCTAGGCAATTCACATTCAGGTAACACCGTAACAGTAATAAATTTTCAGTTTTTATGTGCATTTTCATTGGCGCAATCAAAGAAATCAAGGAAGCTAGCTCTTTTAAGTAGAAAACAGCGACCAATTAACAAACATGTCTCATTATTTGCTTATAATAACGGTAATGGTACCAATCCTTACAAAAGTAAAATCAAAATAGATCCAGAGATCACTTACAGTAGAATGACAAAGGGAGGGCAGCAGATTAGTAGTGCGAGAACCGATGCGTATGTCACCAACGGGGAGTGTACCAACGTCGTCTCCTTCGCCATTGCTTCTGCGATCCAATCGATTCCCGCCTCTAATAAGACCAGCCTCCCACTCCTCCGCCGTGAGCTGAGTAGCGTTTCTGGGGCCCAAGCGGCGGTGATAGCCGGAGGCGACGAAGTGATAAGATGATGACTCCAATTCCTAATTCAGTATATACTTTACTCGCATAAAGTTACAGCGTATACCATTTGCCGGTCAACGCCGTTTAGCATGAATCATTGATCTCGTAATCGTTTAACATGTTACAGTGCTATTTTACCCAGTTTGTGTTCAACAATTACCCCTAATAATAAATAATGTCCCCCTCATATGCATTTTTTCCTCCAATTTTTTGTACTCCGTACAAAAATGGGGAATCTCCAACGCCTGGTGCCCCACCCCGACCCCACTCACTCAGTAGGGATACAGTGTGTTGATTAACTTTTTTTTGTCCAAAAAAAATGATTAACTGATTGATTACACACAAAGAATCGATTAAGTAATTTTGTGTTAGAGGTGACCGCAATTTTGCGCGATTAATTATGGTTTTCTAATATCCATTTTAAATGTTTGGTTGAAGTAAACCTAAGTCGATGTAACAATCTGTCCATTTTCATGAGAAATTTTGATTTTTTTAGAAAAAATGTAGATATATTTTGACTTTGAAATAGCGTACTTTGTTTTACATTTCTTATACATGTTTTGTTATTTTCACAAAATTTGTAATGTTGTGCATATCATACTTAGCGGTCTACCCGACCTAGTTCCGAGACCCGTTGAGTTCAGGTCCTTTCAAGTCTGCCGGGTATGCGGTCGGGTCGGGTCGGGTCCGAATCTTTTATTAATTTAGCGGATTCGGGTCTGAACCTGGAATACTATGTTGTGGCCCGGACCCGACCCATTGACAAGCCTAGCATAAGCATGTCAAATGATTATGAAACACTCCACAAATATTGATTGTCACATAAATCAAAGTATGTAATTGTGCAACATGATCCGCTTGAGATTTGAATCCAATACCTCCCACATAGGGAAGATTTTAAGTGTGAGGTAATGACCCACTTAAACCACTCTCACTTCTCAAATAACACAAAATATGTAAAGATTGAATATAATTCTCATATTACTTCAAAATATGTAAAGATTGAATGTAATTATCATATTACTTCAAATTTAAGGGCGGAGCCAGGACACTGGGCCAGACTGGACCGATACAAAGAATATTTTCAAAAAAAACAAAATTACATGGAATTTTTGCACTAAAATTTAGACATTTTTAAAATTTGGGTTGGGCCTGTGCCAAGCTTGGCTCTCCCCTAGCTCCGCCCCTTCTTCAAAATATGTAAAGATTGAATGTAATTCTCATATTACTTCAAATTACAGGGGCGGAGTCAGGACACTGGGCCAGACTGAGCCGATACAAATAATATTTTCAAAAAAAGAAATTACATGGAATTTTGCACTAAAATTTAGACATTTTTAAAATTTGGGTTGGGTCTGGGCCAAACTTGGCCCTCCCCTAGCTCCGCCCCTTCTTCAAAATATGTAAAGATTGAATGTAATTCTCATATTACTTCAAATTACTGGGGCGGAGCCAAGACACTGGACCAGACTGGGCCGATACAAAGAATATTTTCAAAAAACAAAATTACACGGAATTTTTGCACTAAAATTTAGACATTTTTAAAATTTGGGCTGGGCCTGGACCAAGGTTGGCCCTCCCCTAGCTTCACCCCTTCTTCAAAATATGTAAAGATTAAATGTAATTCTTATAGGGGGTTCCATTTTGAGTTCTTGTAATCATTTTTCACTCCCAATAAAACTTGAACTACTCGTGTGGACTTCCTGCTCCAGCTCCGTATTCAGCTCATTTACATTACAACTTTGCTAGAGGTACCCCATTTGGTACCTCGTTTGTACCCCTTCCTATATGTGTGGTTCACAAAAGTCCAACACATTAAATGAATTGCTCCATTTTAATGAGGTGCCTCTGTGAACCACACACATAAGGAGGGGGTACAAAATGAGGTAACAATAGCATTTTACTTTACATTAACCGGAGAATCTCAATGCCAAATGTTATCATTAGGAGATCTGGACGTGGACAACGTGGAGAGCCTGCCACTCTTCCTTCCAGGGTGGGCAGCATTATGGGACTCCCGATCCAAAATATGGGGCAACCTTTCCGCAATTCCAATTCTCATATTTTGAGCGGTAGTAAATAGTAATAATTCAAAAAAATCCGGTATGTCATGATGATACTATGTTGCACGGAAACGCGAAAATTATGAGGAAACAGGAAACGGAAAACATCTACTTTTGTTCAAAAAGGCTTGTTTTGAGAGTTTTCAAAGAGTTTCCATAGAATTTCCGAAACGAAAACGTGCTATTACCCGAGAGTTTCCGTGCTACATAGCCATGACATTTTGTAATAATGTTCAATTGCATTCATCGCCATTGCTCCCCATATTTTGTATACTAAATATTATTCTATAGGCTTCAATTGAGCTGGGGTGTTTAGTTTTGTTCCATATTCTATTGTGTACATCATGTTAAATATGTTTTTCTCTACACCATTCTGTTGTCACTTGTTCTTCTCGGTTTACACCTATGTCTGCACCAGCCCTTAGTGTTTCCCAATAATGAGTTCTGTCATTCTATGTGATTTACCGATTTTGGGGCTTCTGCACACATGACTCTTAGTAAGTATTTTACAAAATAAATCTATTCATTCTGGCTCTATTTATGTTAGGGTTGTTAATGGTACTATGTTACATGTAGTTCATACCGTGGTACAATCACATTAAACGTTAATTTTGATGTTAGGCTTTACATTTGAATTCAGTTTACCATGTTCCTCACATTAAATACAGAATTAATTTAATTTTGATTCAAAAGTTATGTGCTAATTTTTTTTTTGAAAGAAAAGTTATGTGCTAATAACAATTGCTCTACTATTTTTTTTATAAAAAAACTATTTTAATTAGGGACAAACTCACGGGGAGCACTTCCTCGAGCCAACCATAGCGGAAGTATTTATCCGGTTTCTTTTCTGATCTGTCATCCTCCTCCATGGCATTATTCGGTTGAGCAGCGACGGGATCTTTTGACATCGTCGATTAGGTAATTGTTAGGCTAACCGCAACCCGCAACCGTCAATAAATCAAATTTCCCACTACTTTATACGTATTCTCACTATCAATTCAATTTTTGCTGCAATCCACCACCATCAATATATTATATTGCAATTTTTTTTAACTTTATACATATGATATTGATATCATATGAAAGATAAATTTTTTTAGGAATTTTGATATAATTTTTGAAAAAAACTAGATTCAAATAAAAAAGTTGTAACACTTTTTAATAAAAAGAGATTTTGTTGTTGTTGGGGTCCACACTATCTCTCTGCATCAGAGCATCTTCCCCATTTTTTCTTCTACAAAGGCCGTGAATATGGGGTGCCATATTCTCCCTCTCTTGGGTGCCATTCTACCAATTTGAGACCACCAAATACATGGATTGGAGGGGTTTTAAGAGTGAATATGCTAAATTTAGTTTTTCAGTGCGAGGGATGCGGACAGCCTTAGTGAGTCTTCTTTTCATCATGACTTAGTATCGTGTCGTTTGAGGAAATTTCAACGACTCTCGTTTCAATATGTTATTCACAAATCATTAATATTTGATTTTAAATAAAATTTGTGTTTTGTCGAAGATTTTTCTCGATTCATGTGGTTTTATCCTATGTGGAGAAAGAGCCATATTACTCATTTTATTTGGTTTAGACTTTTAGTGCATTTTTTTATATTAAAATTGAATTTTTTTCGGAGTGATGGCAGAGTGGGTAAATAATTTTAATTTTAATTGAATTGTAGGCATGTGCATTTTTTCTTCCACCATGCTCGCCTTTAATTATTCTATTCACACTAAAATTATTTTGACTAAAGAAATTGATAATCAAAAGCAGGAGATTCAGATTAAAAGTACCACATATAAAATAGAACTAGTAATGTAAAATTGAAACATTCAGATTCATATTAATATAAAAATAAATAAGGGTGTGGTTAAAATACAAGCCGTCTAACATGAAAAGTGTGAAGTTTTCACTTTCACTTCACCACACTGCACTTTTAGGTTTCAATAATGCACTTTTTGCGATGGAAAAAATGCGTGTATATGCAAAAAATGCCATTTTGTTTTTCCTAAAAAGACTACTTTCAACAAAATTTTATAGTGCAACAGCTCTTTAATATAGATGACTATAAGTGCATTTCACACTTTCGCACGTTCAAAAACTCATTTTGTGTATGTTCATTCCTTTTAGGCGTTATACTTTTGAGTTTACATAAAACTCTTTTCTAATGTGCTCAAAATTGATTTGTATATGTTCATTCATTTTAGACATTACATTTGAGTTTCACACAAAACACATTTCTCAAATGAGAACAATGCTTGATGTGAGAACGTGTGAGCACCACATATATCCCCAATGTGACATACAATGGGCTCGCACAATGCACTTTTTCGTACCAAGCATAATATTTATAAAAGTGTCATAATGATTATTTATATTAGCTTGTATTGAGCAAAGTCCAAATGTGCACTAGAAGGGCTCTATTGTGTATCACATTAGATTAAATGTGAGTATTCTCACGTTAAGCATCATTCTCATTGGAACCACATCACATATATTTATAATGGATTAAAAGTATATGCAAATACGATACATTAAAGGGAAAATCGCACTTTCAGTTCCTGAATTGAAATAGTCACGAAAATGAAATGTCGGACCCATATTCCCAAGTTTGTAAATGTTGTCCCTCAATTGTCCTTAATGCTATAAATGTGGTCCTTTGAGGGGTGAAATATACAATGTGGGCGAGAGTACATTTCACCCCTTAAAGGACCACATTTACAAAAATTTGGACAATTAAGAGGTGACATTTACAATATCAGAAATACGGGTCCGACATTTCATTTTCGTGACTATTTCAGGGACTAAAAGTGCAATTTTTCCTAAATTAAATCTATATGGGGGCACCCGCGGGCACCCGTGGGGGACAACGGGATGGGGCGGGGATGGGGGGAACTTTTTAGACATGGGGCGGGGGATGGGGGAGTGTACCCCCGCCCCAAACCCGCCCCATTGCCATCCCTACTCATGCATAGATGGATTTTTCTCTGATACTATATTTTACTTGATTGTCTTCATTTTCTCCATGTTGTGTATTAATTAGGCTCTTAAACAAGGCTTGCATAATCAAGAAAGCTGAAGATGTAAAGGCAAATGGGCTTCCAACAAAGCCATGGGATCTATGCAGTGTAGAACAAGTGGAGGAACTAAAAGCTCTCATAAGAGTAATCCCATTGTGGTCCACTGGAATTATGATCTCTATTAACATAAGCCAAAGTGCATTTCCTTTATTACAGGCAAATTCCATGCACAAGAACGTCACTAAAAGCTTCCCAATCCCAGCTAGATCTTTCAGCATGTTCACAATCATAGCTTTAACTCTTTGGGTGGTCCTATACATACGATCGTGCAATCCTTCCATTAGCTTCCAAACTCCGAGGAAAGCCGGTGCAACTCAGTGCAAAAACCTGTATGGGAATTAGGATCTTCTTTTCTGCGACGGCAATGTTATACTCTGGGACTATCTAGCATGTGAGGAAAAGAGAAGCAAGGAAACAAGGGTTGTTGGACAATTCCATAGCCATTGTTGCCATGTCAGCAATGTGGCTCATCCCCCAACACTGTCTCAGTGGGTTAGCTGAGGCTTTCAACGCGATAGGGCAGACCGGGTTCTTTTACTCCAAACTTCTGAAAAGCATGTCAAGCATTGCTTCATCTCTGTTCGGGTTAGGAATGGCAGTGGCAAACCTACTTGCTAGTGCTATCCTGAGCACAGTGGACCGCACTACCAGAGGAGGTGCTCACGGGAATGAGAGTTGGGTTTCAAACCATATAAACAATGGGCATACGAGTATTACTATTGGCTTCTCACCGTATTGACCATAATTAATTTGATGTACTTTGGGATGTGTAGTTGGATATATGGACCTTCTGTGGAGAATGGTAGTAGGATCAGAACTGTGGAGGATGAAAATGTCATTCTACCAAAGGATAGATGAGTTTCTACAACCCAAAAAGTTTCCACTAGCTAATACGAAGTATATAAATAATAAATCTTTTTATTCGACCAAGTTGTTTGGATGAGGTCCTGTTAAATGTCCCACACCGGAAAAGTTTGGATGAACGAAGTGCTATATTAACACATGGGCTACTCCTCCTAACTTCGTTCATCCTAACAAAAAAACAATTTACCCCTATTGATTTCACACTATTCTTCATTAATAGTCACATGTTTAACTAATGATTTTTGTTTCTAAGTATTTGGTTATATTTTCTATTTGAAGACACTGTTGTTTTTCCTATATGCTCCTATACATTTTAAAAAAATTCTATTTCAATTAAAACTCACTCAATATGATATGTTTTCGTGATATCCAATTATAAGGTGTGTGTAATATTCAACATTTTACATTTCTTTCATTTAGTTCAATAATTAACTTTATGTTAGTTCGTAATTCATTTGATAAATAATATACTATTATTGATATTGGATGTGAATTGAAGGTATGTCATAGCCACATCGGGATATCACCAGTGATATCTAAAGAGAATGTAGAATTAATGATGTTTTCAATTGGATTGAAATTTTCTTGTCTGGTTTGTTGTAATCTGATTTGATCAGATATATTTAAGTTTGGTTTGAACTGGTCTACTGTAGTCTTGACATCTTGTCTAGTAAATGTATGGTCTTTGTGTATTTTACAACTGTCAAGGTCTGATCTGGTCAAAACTCGTCCGTTCAAGTCTAGTTTGATTTGTTTAAGTATGATCTAGTCTGGTGTAGGACTAAAATAATGCAAGTAAAATCATCCTAATATTAGACAAAAAGATAAGTGCTAGTGCAAATAAGAGTATTTATCCAGTCATAAATGTTATATGCATTAAATACACTTACACTTGTAGGTTAGTCATTAGGGAGAGAACCACAACATATGAGAAGTGGAGGTGTGATGCCTGTCGTATGTTGTGTGTTATGGGATATTGTTTTCAAAAAAAAAAAACAAATACATTTTATTTTTGTCATTTCAAAATGTATATATTCATTAATTAATTTTATTACTACATGTGATTTTATTCTTTTATCCAATGGGAAATGTTAGAGATTTTGTGCACACTACAAAATTTTAACAAACTATTTGATACCTATAAGATAATTATAGTGGGGAAAGTAAAAGAGGTGAATATCCCAATTGCTTGAATCATCCTGAGAACGAGAGCATTTTTATTTGGGTGGGGGGAGTAAAAGAGGTGAATATCCCAAGTATAATTCACTCTCATTCACTCCTTACGGTCAAAAAGAAAAGGAGAAAAACGAGAGGGGACAACCCTGGACCAGCATAGAGGGATGGACGACATAGCTGACGACATGATATCGTACCTCCTTTTATTTAAAATAGTCAATAATTTTTTAAAAAGCTTATTTTTGTTCAGTCACATGCCATTTTATTGAAATAATACTCCATCCGTCACGCAAGAATAATTCACTCTCACTCGCTCCTTACGGTCAAAAAGAAAAGGAGAAAAATGAGTGGGGACAACCCTCGACAAGCATAGAGAGATGGACGACATAGCTGACGACATGATATCGTACCTCCTTCAATATAAAATAGTCAATATTTTTTTACTTATTTTTATTTAGTAACATGCAATTTTATTGAAATAATACTCTCCATGTCCCGTTAAGATTGTCTCATTTTTTATTTTATGAAAATCCTATTAAAATTGTCTCATACCAAATTTGATAGTTTGTATGACTCTAAATCATTTGTACTTTATTCTTACTTTATCAATTCAACATCAAACACATAAACTCACTTTTTTAATAACCGTGTCACCTTCTAATGTCCCAATGTTAGTGGGGTGAAGGTAGTAATTCTCTTTTATTAATAAAATAAAGTAAAATAAGTGTTCAAATTTTAACTTTCTCTTTGAAAATAAATCGGTGTTTTAAAATTATAACTATTCATAAGGTTGTTTGTTAATAATTTAAGTGTACTCATATACAACAAAAAATTATAGACTTATTAATATTGACTTTAGAATGTGTAAGAAGAGGGAGAGTCTATTTCAACTCCTTCCCAATTCTATATAAATTGAAAAAGAAGTGTGCACCGTTAAAATGTGTGTTGAAAAGAAGGAAGAGAGAGAGAGACATGAAGAAGTTGGAGATGGAGGATAGTTGTGAAGAGCTCAAAAAACGAGAGTCACGATCTGAAAATGAACAAAAAGAAACTACAAAGACAATACAAATTCATAGAAAAACAAGATCAAAGGGCGGTCTAGTCACCTTGCCCTTTGTTATAGGTATGATCACTCACTCAATCACTCTCTCCCTCTTGTGAATGTTGTGTTACTTCACTCTTTGGATTGTATTACTTATTTGAAGTATTTAATTGAGATGTTATTGCAGCAAATGAGGCACTGGAGAGGGTGTCAAGCTTCGGGCTAATGCCGAACATGATTCTGTATTTGATGAAAAATTATGGAATGGGTATGACTCAAGGCCAGAATTTGCTCTTCTTCTGGTCGGCTGCAACCAATTTCTTGCCTTTGCTTGGGGCCTTTCTTGCAGATTCTTATTTGGGCCATTTCATCACCATTGCACTTGGTTCACTGTTCTCCCTCTCAGTATGTCGTGTTTATTTTACTCTCTATGTCCCACAAAATTTTCCTATTTCAACTTTAAAGATTAAGATGTAGTTCTGTCTAAAACAATTTTGAGGTCTTGATAGTTACATATTACCACATTTACTTTTAAAATATCATTTCAAGAAAATATTAAAAGCCCGCTGGTAGCAAGAAAATCGAGTGATTTGGCTGATTCTGCTGAAATTTATAAAGTTCTGACTGAAGTGGCATCATTGACTGATTCTGCTAATTTATGAAAAAAATATTTTTTAAATATATTTTATTAATAAAATAAAGAAAAAATATATGTAAAAATAGCTAAAATGATCGTCTACATTAACTTCAGCCAATACAGCCAGAAAAGTAACCCCAACCTTACATTTCAGCTTATTATACAATTCAGCACGCGAAATCAAAAGTTATGTGTTTGGTGAAAAAGTTGGCTGATAAGTCTGATAAGCCGAAAAATGGTGTTGTCAAACGGCCACTCAAACTACACCTAGATATAACATAACTTCAATACAATACAATACAATCTGAAACGCCCTACATGTTAAGACTCAAGAATGTCGAAAAAACAATTCTTTGAATGAAAATAATCCGAAATGACGAAAAATACATGACAATACAAATTGCTTACTTGTTTTTCTTCGTTTTTGAACAGCAAAATTAGTAAGAATATCTCTACAATCAACTAATCAAGATTGCCCAACATTTTATATTTCAACTAATAAGAGAACTAATTCCACAAAAAACTAATAACAGAACTAAACTAATTAATCTATCCTCGGATATGCTTGATTAAAGATAATTTTTATCAACATTATTTTTAAATATATTTTTTTTAAATTAGTCAATGACTAAATATATTTAAAACTAGTGGTCTTAAAAATGGGAGTCTCGTAAAATTTTGGAGGCCCTAGACGAATGTTACTAAGAATGGTTTTACTTAGGACTGTAATTTGATGGTCCGGACTGATCTGGTCTATTTAAGTTTGGTCTGGTCTAATTTGAACTGGTCTGGTAAATATTGGTCTCTGTGTTTTTTGTAATTATGGATGTCTGGTCTGCTCTATTTAAGTTTGATCTGGTCTAGTCTGATCTATTTAAATTCGGTCTGATCTAATTTGTTCAAGGCTGGTCCAATCTCGAAGTGAAAACAATCCAAGTAAAAACATTTTAATTCAAGTTTGATTAATGGTAATTCGGGATAAAAGATTTATCAATGAAGGATGTGAAAGATGTTAAAACTTGGGGTTACATCATAAAATGTCCTGATAGGAGTAGCCTATGGCTATGTTTGGCATGCATAAGTCCCTACCTTCTAGCTTTTGTATTGTTCAAAAAGTCTCTACAAACTTCTAATTGTATATTTGTCATGACAATTTTTAAGAGCTTTTCAAAAATTAAAAGATCTTTTTTTTAGAAAAGCATGTGACTTTTAGTACTAATTAGTCCTAACAGCTTGTATACCAATCCAAAACTAAATCAAACATTCAGCTTTTTACCAAACAGCTACCACCTTTTCTTTTTAAGATCTTTTTCAGTCACTAAAAGTTAACAGTTATTAAAAAGCTTATAAAAGTATCTTTTCAACTAATTGTGCCAAAAATACCCTATATGTTAGTATAACACTTTGTTCATCCAAACTTTTCCGGCGTAAGACATTTATTAATAAAATAAAAGATACTCCCTCCGTCCCAGGGAGAAGTTCCCGGGTTGACTTTCACACATATTTAGGAAATAAAGTTACTGAGGGGTAAATTTTACTGTTTGGCACTGTTTTGACACTGTTTGGCACTGTTTCGACACTGTTTGGCACTGTTTTGCACTGTTTGACACTGTTTTGATGTAGGATAACTTTCCATTTAGGGAAATGAGAACTTTTTGTTGGGACTACCAAAAAAGGAAAGTGAGGGAGTACATAATTGTCAATTTTGGAAAATGGATTGTGAGCCATGAATTTACAGGGGACATTTGTTTTGTGGCTGACGGCAATGATTGAGAAGTTAAGACCGCCGGCAGCGGCATGTAGCAGCGCCCAATCACTACCGTGTAAACCTGCCGCCGCCACGCCAGCACAGTACTTTGTCCTGGTGTCTTCATTTGTGCTCATGTCCATCGGCGCCGGCGGTATCAGGCCCTGCTCTTTACCATTCGGTGCCGACCAGCTCGACAGGAAGGACAACCCTCGCAATCAAAGGGTGCTGGAGAGCTACTTTGGGTGGTACTACACTTCCACGGCGGTTTCCATTCTAATTGCACTCACCGCCGTCGTCTACATCCAAGACCACATGGGCTGGAAAGTCGGCTTTGGAATTCCGGCAGTCCTCATGTTACTATCTGTCACTCTTTTCCTCGTCGCCTCACCGCTCTATATCAAACGCAGAAGCAGTAGGAATCTGTTGAAGAGCTTTCTCTGCGTCTTCGTGGCTGCTTTCAAAAACCGGCACCTCCCTTTTCCATCTCACCTTTCCCTCTACCATGGCAGCAGAGGTTCTGAAACCATTCTGCCTACTCACAGACTGAGGTATGTACTTTGTTCTACTACATCCATTCCATTTGTTAACATTTTTTTGTCACCATTTTTTATTAAGTAATGTTAAGGTTAAATACTCCCTATAGATAAATACTTCAATTTTAATAATTACAATTTTTATATTCAGAAAATACATTAAAATCTCTATAAAGTTGCAAAATCAAAATTAAAATTTAAGGAAGAATTGATATCGTAATTAAATGATTAAAATGAACTTGTTTGACCTAAAAAGTCAAATTTTGCAAATCGGGATAGAGAAATTAATTAGTAATTACTATTCCGTACTATTCATTAGGCAGCTATATACTTTTGGCTAATTGATAGGATTATCTCATTTCACCTTTGGAAAATCTAACTGTTGTCTCCTGTTAAATTTGATAAAGTTTGTATGACTCTAAATCATATTTTCTTTATTCCTACTTCAACAATTCAATATCGTCAATCAAATAAATTTATTTTGTGTAAGGGAAAATGGTCACATAGGCCCTCAAACTTACATAAAAGCTCAAATAAGCCCTTATATAGGAGGTTCTGTCCGGCCTTCGCCATTTGGGGCGGTTCCCGGTGGAATGTTTTGATGAAATTTTTTGAGCATCTCATTCATTATGTCTAGTTTACTCGTACCAAATTTCAGCTAAAACTTCAATCGGGAAGGCATTCAAATGAATTCTTGAAGATAACTGTGCAATTAAAAGAACATATGAGAAATTATATTTTTTGATAATCAATCTTTTCCAAGATTGATTATCAACACATGTATCACAAAAGTAACAACACATGTATCATAAAAGAACATTGTGAAGTAAAATCATAAATAATTGCTTTATAATCAATCTTTTCCAAGATTACATGTGCAATGTCTAAAATTGCTAATCCATTAATTTTTTTGGGGGAATAATAGATAATTGGGATGATGTTTGAGAATTGGGAGGCACCAGCAGCGCAAAGACAATAACAAAAATTGGTAATTTTGTGGTTAAAAGAATAAAAAATCTTAAAGGCTAGAAAGATGTGAAGAGACGTGTTTTTATAGATTCAACAACAAATGTGTTGACTTATAACCAACTCTATTTAAAAATTAAAACTAAATTTATATTCTTTTTAAAAACTTATCTAGCTTTGTTCAAGACTTTTTACTTATGTTTTAAAATTCTCAAATTGTCAACAAAAATTACACATTAGGCCTAATTAATTAATTGAAATTATAAATAAAAAAAGAAGCCTACTCATATTACATATATAAAGAAAAAAACTCGGACCTAATTTTCTTTCTACTTTTTCTCGGGCCTAGGGCGGTCGCCCCTTCTGCCCTCCCTCTAGAACCGGCCATGACCTGCCCCGACCCATTAATAACCCGGGATTTTGAGCGGGAAAATCACCTCCAGGCCAATTCCACCTCTTTTTATATAGAGGTAGTTTTTAAACTCAATGTATTAATACGATAATTATTCAAGCCTGCGACGAATATAAATCACATTTTAGAACGATTTGACGTAATAAAATCTAATAAGCATGATATGTAAACGTTACGAACTAATTATATGTTGTACTCCGTATATGATGATATGTCAGATATGTGATACAACTATTTGGAGTCAACTCGGTGTTATTGTATATTTTAAGCATTTACATCATTTAAGGAATTAAATTAGGGTTGTAAAAGTGAAGTATTGTGAGAAGTAAATAAGAGATTGACACATTATCATTTTAAAAACCATATTTACTTTTTTTTTGCAAGGAACCATATTTACTTTTACTCTATAAAAATTCAAAACAAAAAAATGTAGTCAATTTCTACTTCTAGTCGAAATTAGTTGTCACGGATAATATTTGGTATAAATTCAACTACATTTGGTTTCTGATTTTATGTAAATATTTTGCCGATTTGAAATTCGGCTTTGTAAAGTCCGATAATATTTAATGTAGTTTACAAATATTTAAATAAAATAAGAAACAGAACACTATGTGGTATAAGAAGAATTAATTGAGAAGTTTTTCAAAATATTGTTAAAACTCAATCATGAAGAAAATGTGACTAAAATTACTATGAGCGTAATATCATGGTTTCTTAGGTATAATTTAAGTTTGGGATAAGGGTCAGATAGGGCCTCGAACTCGAAAAAAAATGTCAAATAAGGTCATATTTCGGATGCTCTGTCTGGCCGACGCCATTTGGGGCGGTTCCCGATGGAATTTTTTGATAAAATTTTTTGAGCATCTTCCTCATTAAGTCTAGTTTACCCATACCAAATTTCAGCTAAAAACTCAACCGGGAAGGTAGTCAAATGAGTTTTTGAAGATAACTGTGAAGTTAAACAACGCCGTACATTTCGGAAAATTATTTGACTACCTTCCCGGTTGAATTTTTAGCTGAAATTTGGTATGGGTAAACTAGACTTAATGAGGAAGATGCTCAAAAAATTTAATCAAAAAATTCCATCGGGAACCGCCCCAAATGGCGTCGGCCAGACAGAGCATCCGAAATATAACCTTATTTGACATTTTTTTCGAGTTCGAGGCCCTATCTGACCCTTATCCCTTTAAGTTTAGATATACTTCGTAGTAACTAATAGTTACTGTTATAGTCACTATATATGTAAAAGGTCACATGTTTTAATTTCCATCATTTTTAGTTTAGTAATATATACTACATATTTCCTTATTTCATTCATTTATGCTCCGAGAGGAATCCTAAGTCTAGTAATTGTAAATATGAAACAAAATTAATCAAAATATGGAGTGATATCAACAGAATACACGGGAGCAAAAGAGACACACCAATATATTGCATACCTGAGTAGCAAACTATTGCTATTTGTTTACTTATCTTTTAAATTAAAATACTAAATATATATTAATGCGATTAATATTGTAGTTATATATTATAATTAAAATATACTACATATATATGAGGCTTCATGTAAGAGGAGGCCCAAGGCAATTTCCTAGGGTAACTCCCACGTACTAGGGTCTTGTAAAAGCTACTATACTCTTTGAGACATATTAAATTAAATAAGCTTATGCTTTTTGAATATGTTATCTCATACCGGCAAAATAGAAGAAGGAGAAGGAGAAGGAGGAGGAGGAGGAGGAGGAGAAGGAGAAGGAGAAGGAGAAGAAGAAACATATGGTGTGCATAGATAAATTTTTCTATGATACAATAATATTTTACTTAATTGTCTCCATTTCTTCATTGTGTATTAATTAGGTTCTTAAACAAGGCTTGCATAATCAAGAAAGGTGAAGATGTGAAGGCAAATGGGCTACCAACAAATCCATGGGATCTATGCAGTGTAGAACAGGTGGAGGAGCTAAAGGCTCTCATAAGAGTAATCCCATTATGGTCCACTGGAATTATGATCTCCATCAACATGAGTCAAAGTGCATTTCCTTTGCTACAGGCAAACTCCATGGACAGGCACGTCACTAAAAGATTCCAAATTCCAGCCGGATCCTTCAGCATGTTCACAGTCATAGCTTTAACTCTTTGGGTGGTCCTATACGACCGTGCAATCCTCCCATTAGCTTCGAAAATCCGAGGAAAACCAGTACACCTCAGGACAAAAACCCGTATGGGAATCGGGATCTTCTTATCTGCGATGGCGATGTTATACTCTGGGATTATCGAGCACGTGAGGAAAAGAGAAGCAAGGAAACAAGGGTTGTTAGACAATCCCCAAGCCATTGTTGCCATGTCAGCAATGTGGCTCATCCCCCAACACTGCCTCAGTGGGATAGCCGAGGCTTTCAACGCGATAGGACAGACTGAGTTCTACTACTCCGAACTTCCAAAAAGCATGTCAAGCATTGCTTCATCTTTATTCGGGTTAGGAATGGCAGTGGCAAACCTTCTTGCTAGTGTTATCCTGAGCACAGTGGATCACATTACCAATGAAAGTGCCCACGGGAATGAGAGTTGGGTTTCAAACAATATAAACAAGGGCCATTACGATTATTACTATTGGCTTCTCACTGTATTGACCCTGATTAATTTGATGTACTTTGGGGTGTGTAGCTGGATATATGGGCCGTGTGTGGAGAATGGTAGCAGAGTTAGCACTGATGAGGAGGGAGATGTCAATCTACCATAGGATAGTGAAGTTTCTATACCCCAAAAAGTTTTCACTAACTAATATGTAAATAAATCTTTATATTCACACAACCGTCGATTCCCTTTCCTGAATACACCTCATACTCAATAGTTAATAGTTAATACTGGAGCAGAGAGAATGACTTTAAATTTGCCTATGGAGCAAATGAATAAAAAATTTGGAACAATACCATTTATTAATTCCAGCATGCTAATCAGCCAATGAGGGAATAATACCAGGATGACATTCTCTATTCCAAAAATAAGTTCATACTTTATTTTATCATCCTCCATACATACCACAAGTATTGGAGAATGACATATTTTTGGAATAGAAAATCTCAACTCTGCAAATATGATGTTACTACTGTCTACAGGCCCATAAAGCCCAACAACACACAGAAGTCAATAATTAATTCGAAAAAGTTGGTCATATTTATTATAGGCCCAAAGAGAAGGGGAAAGTGGTTCCCGACAGCCAAGATCCACCGGCAATGAAGGTTCCTGGGCTATATATTTGGGCTTCAGTAGCACTGGTCATGACCTTAAATCCTTTCCAGGTCACCCTCTTGGAAGTCCCCGATCCTGGCCCACTATTCTGATACTCCCGATAAGTCAACGTGTTGACCGCAAAAGTCCCATCCCATTCGTGCCACCCGACCGGGTCAATCAAGTCGCCGATCGTGCTCTGCATAACCACCGTCCGGGAGTACAACTTCCACGGCCGCCCAAGATACGTCCGGAAGCTCGCCTGCACCGGTTGCAGGTCAGATGTCGCCGCAATTCGGGATTTCTGGATCACGATTCCGGTGTTTTGGTTCGGGTCGGTTCGTCCCTGGGCAGTGAGCATGTTCTGCTGGGACGCGCCTGGGCGGCGCGCGTGGATATCGCAATTCTGGAAAACGGCGGCGGCATTGCCGAAGATGAAGTCGACGGTGCCGGTGATGAAACAATTGACATAGAATTGGCGGAGCGAGTGGACATAGAGGGTGTCTTGGTACCCGATCATGTCGCAATTGTAGAATGCGGAGAGGTCCGACCCGACCCGGAGTGCCACCGCCTGGTGCTTGTCGGGGCCGGCCGTGTTTTGAAATGTTATGTCCCGCGCCAAGAATCCCTGTCCGACCGCCGCTGTGTAACATTCACAAATCAAATTATTGCTTGAAATTTCATTTACCATAAGTTTTACGGAGTAACAAATTAACTGCTCTATTTCCTCAATTTTTCTGATCACATTTTGTCGGATATGTTTAATACTATCCTCCGTCTCTTTTTAATTGCAACATGTTGACTTTTTGTACTGTTCACATGATCTACTTTGACTACATTTTACACTATTATTTTATGAAAATTAATTTTTTTAAAAATATTTTTCAATTCATCTTATTACAAATTTCAAAATCTGATTTTTAATACAGAGTATTTTTTATTAATAGAGATTAAGACATACTTACGGTTAAATGTGTGTGTTGACAAATGTGCAAAGGTTAACTCTTACAACTAAAAACGTTTCCAAATTCTCCCCATTCAACTGTGCCATTAATTATTTGGATTATTCTCCCTCTACCCATACAAGTTGGTAAGATGTATACTTGTTGGATAAGAATAAATAAATATACGTAGTAAGAAACTCCGTATATACTTAGTATTATCTAATTAATAATGTTTAGCGTGGATGGGGAAGAAATTGAATCATATTAACCATTAATTTTATATAATAAAAGTGACAAGCTTCTTAACACCAAATAGTTATCTTTTAATTTTTAAGTTTTACGCGCCAAAGTAATTAAATTTATAGTTTTATACGGGCAAAAGCAAAACATCACAAATTATCAATGATTACCAGAATGGAGGTAGGGGTAAGAACAAGATATGGGAGGTTTGAATCTACTTTTTAAAACCGGTTCCGTTCCTTCAACGAGCAAAAAGAGATACTGAAGTGTTTGACCGAAAGTGCATACTTTTTTGGGTGCACTTTAAAAACATAAATTGTTCATAGAAACAGTTTTTTAGAAAGGTCAACTTCTAAAAACTACTCTAATTCTATTTTTCCTTTTAAAAAGAAGCAGAAACAAAATTCATACTATACCAAACACCCCATTATTCACATCCTCTCTTTCAAAACACCCTAACTAAATAAGCCTTAAAAACTTGTCAAAGTGTTTTTTTCTGAAATTCCAACCAAAAGAGTGTTCAAACAATCATTTTAATATCAGATTAATGATAAATTTGCGCTTTAATTCTTTAAGTTGTATCCACATAATGTTGGCTTTAGTTGTGGTTTGGTTTAAAAATAACAAATGGAGACAAGAAAAAGTTAGGGAACGAGCGTCACTACTCAGGAGCATTATACGGAGGAAATAATTATCAGCACCTAAAAAGAAAAATAATATTATCCCGATTCCCGACCAAACATGTGTGTGCCGTCGTAGTCCATTGCTAAGATATTCACGGACTTTGATTTTACACAAGTGGCAAACCACTCATAGCTGGAACCAACGTTTATCGCACATGTGCATTTGAACCTGATTCAATCATGTTCTATTATGTTTGTCATTAATTTTCATGTTTGTTTAAATTTGCTCTTAATTGATTCCATATAATTTTCGTGTTTAACATGATTTTTAATATTATCACAATTTCTGGTATAACCTAACAATCATATCTATGTATATACTCCGTAGTAGGTTCTTAGAGATTTGAAAAAGAAAGCAAAAGACAAATGGATGAAAAATTGTTTAAGTACTACCAAGATCCATTGATTTTGGAATAATGAAGTAAAACATTGAGCATAAGAGTAGGAACTGAAGTTAAGAAACATTTTTAATTGTAATCCACTACTATGAAAAGTGCATGGAACTAACATATACGGAGTATGATGAAGGGAATGCATATTAAGTTATTCATTTTCGGATAAACACGCCTACCAAACGTAAAAAACAAAGATTAAAAGGGTAGGGGTGTAATTTGGTGGTCAGACTGGTCTGATATGGTCTGTTTAAATCTGGTCTGGTCTGGTAAACGTCTGGCCTTTGTGTATTTTATAACTACGAAAGTTAAATCTGGATTGATCAATTTAAATCTGGTCCAATTTGATCTGAGTTGTTTAAGTCTGATGTATTTAAGTCTGGTCTAGTTTGGCCCAGGACTCAAAAAGTCCAAGTAAAAAATTCTAGGTGTGGCCATTGTCGAAATAAATGATGTCTAACGTAACTATATACGGAGTAGATTAAATAAATTTCAACATAAGACATACAGTTATAACTTCAATCTCAAAAATAAAAATAAAAATCCCCCGTTCTTCCTCGAGTCTAAACTAATTAATAATTGGACATATAAAGAGTCCAATATATTACCTTTCTTCTTTTCTATACTGATACTAAGGGTCTATTTAATGTGCAACCGCTTCTGCTTAAAAAAATATTTTTTTAATAAAATAGGGAAAAGTGATTAAATAAAAATTGATTGTGTTTGAGAAAAAAGTGATTTTGAAAAGTAAAAGTTGGTAGTGTTTGGTAAAATAAGTATTTTTTGTGTAATAGAAAAAGTAAAAGCACTTTTGACACAAAAGCCATGAAAAATAAAAGTTGGTAATGTTTGATAAAATAAGTGTTTTTTAAGCCAAAAAATGAGAAATGATGTTTTTAAAAACATTCGCAAACCAACCCTAATTCTAATGCTCATGCTAATGCTAGCTAGTCGTTGTCAAGACTCCCACTAACGTAAAGTGTACGTTCAGCATCTTTATTTCGAAATTCGATCCCGCACTATGACAAAACTTACTACCGTCCCCGAATTTACTTCCCAAATAAAGTGATACACAGATTAAGAAAGTGAGAATTATGTCGTGGAGAGTTGTGCAAAAGAGAGAAATGTTGTGAACCACAAATTCTTTGTCAAAAATTGAAAATGAAGTTCTTTTTTGGACTGACAAAAAGGGAAAGTTGGAAGTATTTTCAGTACAAAAATTGTCTCCAATATTCTTATTTTCCTAATTTGGTAAAAGTTGATTATTAAATACTCCGTATTATATAATACTCCGTACTAGATTTTTTATAATTTCATATACACCTTTTTTTGTAAAACAAAATTAGTGGAAACATGCTTCCTTATATTAAAACCAGCACTTTAGTGGAAACAAAAACATCAAAATTATTGTTTTGTGTAGAATGAATGATCTAACGAATATTAGCTCAATGTATTCAACTTGTCCTTGCGCCTTTTAGTTTTGTCGAGCCATCCCATAAAAATACAAATTAACAATGATACATCATTCCCTTCCTCTCTTCTATTCTATTTCACGTTGTTGTCCATTGCAAAATCAAGGAAATAATTAAAATACAATAAAATGACTAAAATAGCTCGTATAGTCTTATTTATGATTTGTTTGTATTGCTTTTGATACCTAAAATTGAATAAAATTATTATGCCCATATGAACAAGTCAAGGATTATTATTTTAATTTCTGCCTATGCGATTACTTTCTACATACTCCATAAATTATTGTTGACTAAGTGCTGCTGGGTAGGCAGCTTTCATGTACAAACAAAAACTCCCATCTTAATATTTCAAGTACAATGTGGCCATGTTGCTCTACTCGCCTACAGGGAGATACATGTAGCTGGTTCAAGTGGAGTATCCCTCCAATATATAGGTTCTGACTTTGAGTTGTTTTTTGGCTGAGATTGGGAAATCAATATGGACTCATTTTCATGTGGGAGTTAAAAATATCCTTAATAGATGAGGCAGTACTAGCAAAGATAATAAAAAGGAGTAGTTATACAATTAGTGTTGTATTCGAATGCAGCACTTATTTTGGAATAAAAAGTACTTTCATAAAAATTAGAGTCAACTTTGGTAGAAATAATTGCCTTAATCTACTAATAGGACAAGCAAAATAGGGAGATTACCTAACATTACATTTTCTTAGTAAACTCCAACGAATGTATCATTGTTACCATTTTCAATTCCTTTTTTTATCATTATATATGAAAAAGAGATAACAAATCTTATATTTCTATTTTTTCTTGGGTTTCCCCTTAATTTTCTACAAGTTTTATGTCAATTTCATATTTAATTCTCGATTCTCCCGTGTTCACTTTTAGTGTTTGACTAATGTTTCTTCGATGATTTTCCTATGTCTCTCCGATGATTTTAACAGCCGGAAATATTGACGGAAGAATTATATATAGGCAAAAAACAATAGTCATGTACAAAAAATAGTCAAACACGTTGACCAATTGTGGAATTGGTGCAATACTTTTTAGGATCAAAAATAAAATTTATTCATTAAAATTTAGATTACTTCAATATACTCTAATATAATCCAATTTAGTCCACTCTACCAAAATAAGAGCCCGTTTGGAGACCTCTTTTTTCGGCTTATCAGGCTTATCAGCCAACTTTTTCACCAAACACGTAATTTTTACTTTCGCGTGCTGAATTGTGTAATAAGCAGAAAAAGTAAGGTTGGAGTTACTTTTCTGGCTGTATTGGCTGAAGTTACTGTAGATGACCATTTTAGCTATTTCTACATGTAATTTTTTCTTTATTTTATTAATAAAATATATTTTTAAAATATTTTTTTCTAGAATCAGCAGAATCAGCCAAAACAGCCACTTCAGCCAGAACTTCATAAATTTCAGCAGAAACAGCCAAAACAGCCGATTTTCGTGCTACCAAACGGGCTCTAAATGTAAGTAAAGGAGTTCTGGGTCAATTACTCTTGTCTGAGTGGGGGTTCGGGAAGGTTTTTTTAAAGGACATGAGGGTTGGTGAAGTAGTTTAAAAAAATTATGTACAAGGGTTTTGGACTTTTTGGTACTATTTCATTGTTGTAGAGTTGTAGTGTTTATAATCGTGTAGCGTAGCCACTTGTGTAGTTCAGTAGTTCCATTTCCGAAAAAGCTAAAAGTGAAAGTTGACTAATATTTTGAAACACCCCACAAAAAGGTAAATAGATAAGTATTTTGGAATTAATGGAGTTTACGTATTTTAATCCATAAGTTAGCATCAAGGAAAGTTGTGTTATTGATAACGGAATCTTTCATTAACGACTAGTAACTCATATGTTCAGTTTATTAAACTTATTAAACATGAAATCTAATGTTTATCAAGTTTATTAGTAAAAAAATTGAATATCAAGTTCATAATTTTTGTTTATCAAGTACAAAATTGAATGTGGAATTGTGGACACCATCGAGTATGGATCCATCAAGTATATACTCATAATATGGGTGAAGTAGATAGGTGATAAGTAGTAGTTTTAGTTGATTTTTACTCCGTATATAATTTTATTTATTAATAAAATACGAATTATATTTTTAACATAATTTTTCATATCCTTTAACAAAAATATTACTCCGTAGCATATTTCAAAGTAAACAATTGTTTCATTTTAATGAATTTCATCAATTTTAAGTGAGAGAAACAATTATATCTGCTTGATGCTAATTCGATCAATTTAGTGGTAAGGATTCGAAGACTCAAATTCTAAATAATGATTGAGTAGTTTGTGTAGGCTTACCTACTGTGGCTGATTGGAAGGTGGTACTGCCATCCTTCACGTTCTTGTTTCCGGTGATGATGGTCTTCTTCCTCCCATCTCCGATGAACATTATATTCGTCTTCTTCTTCCCCACGTCCACACTTTCTCTATATACTCCCGCTTTTATCCTTATCACGTACCTCTTAGTGCTCTTCTCCGGCGCACTCGCCACCGCCTCGCTCACCGTCTTAAAGTTCCCGCTGCCGTCGGCCGCCACCACCACATTGGGCGTCACCGTGCTCGCCTGCAGCAGCCTCCTGTCGCCCGCGGACAGCCACTCCGGCCACAGTAATAACTTCCGATTCCCGGGACTCGTCGATGGCTTCATCGCCTCCTCCGCCGCGATGTGCCCGTTGGTCATGTTCGTGATCATGGCCAGCGCGTTGCTGCAGAGTTTCTCAACGTGATCCTGGTGTTAAAATGTTAGGTAATTATTTAATATTCTAATATTGGTCATATAATTGGAGTTATCTATTAGCTTAGTCATAAAAGGTAAATTTTTAGCTTGGTCATGGAATTGACTTTTTCCGGTGAGAATCAACTTTGATCAACATATTTTTTTAAATATGTTACTTTAAATAAGAAAGTTATATTCAAATGTTCCTTATTCAAAATATTTTCATCAAAATTATCATCCAAAATTTGTCACCAAAAAAATTAATATGACGAACATTTTCGGCACACGATGGAGGTATATTAACAAAGTTGATATAGTCTTGGATTTATCATGTGTAATTATAATGTATAATTATATGATGCCGATCTTATTAGAATCTAATCTTATACCTGGCCGTTTAGAAGCGAAAAGCGGAGGCGCTTGGCGGCGGCCTCGTGAGAGAACCCGTCAAGGCACGTTTCTTGGTTGGTTATGGCGGCGCTCAGGAGGGATTTCAGGTTGTCGGCCTGCTCCCTGAGCGTCTTCTTGCTCGGGTAATCTTTCAGGTCCTTCTCCGTCTCCCGGATCTGATCGAGGGTCTCGTCAATCAGTTCCAGGCAGTCGTGCAGCGCCGTCTTCTCGCAGACGGTCAGCCCCTTTCGGGTATTGAGGATGTTCTTGACGAGGAAGTAGTTGTGCTTGGTGGCCCTCGTCGTGACGTTTAAGGATATCTCGATCACGTCCTTCGGGGACTTCAGCCGGTCGCTGGCGCCGGAGAAGCTGGAGACGGCGGAGTAGCAGAGCTCCGGGTAGAGCGTGGCGTCACATGAGGTTTTCACAATTGCGTGAGCTGCCGCCGTGAGTGGGCGGATGTCGGCGGCGGACTTGGTCTTCCGGGAGTTGACTTCGGTCACAATTCCGATTATAGCCCCTGCAAATAGAATGACGGAGAAGATGGCAAAGAAGATTTTCCTCTTCCGATTGGGAAGTGTAGTAGTACTGGTGGGCTCTCCTAGACGGGCCATGGCGGCGAAGAGGTGTTTAATTGGCCGGAGTTTGGATCCTCTGTTTGTACTCGGTAACTAATGAGTGTAGTTTGAAAGTGAACAAAAGAGCATGTCCTTTACCAAGGACAATACAGGAGGGGAAATGGCCCAATGTGGGAATTGAAGTTTCAACATGGAGGTTTATATAGGAAAAATAGGTACTCCCCATTTAAAAAATCGTGACATTAGATCTTGACGTAATATTTATGAAGGGGCAGAAAAAGTAGGAGAAATTACAGAGGCGGATCCAGAAATCTGAGATGTCGTGGGTTAAATAAGAATTATACTAGATTTAAATATTAGAGGGTTGAGCTAACAGTGAAAAATGAAAAAGTTTACACTAAAAAAATTAAAAATTTTCTAAGTTGTCATGGACTTCTGCCTACCATAGCTCGTACATAGATCCTCTCATGGGAGAAAAGGTGAAAAAGAAAGAAAGATAAGAAAAAAAAATAGAAGAAATAAGGGTAATTGGTATTTTTAAAGAAATAATTACCAAAAAAGGAAAATATTGCAAACTTTTAAATACATCCTAAATAGGAAAGTGCAGCAAATTTTCAAATACAGATGGAATACTATGCTTATCAAGTTATCATCTCTACAAAAAAAATAGTCATTTTATGTGAAAACTATAAATTTTATAGTTTTGGTGAAAGTTATAAAATTTATATTTCATGAAATTATTTTTAGTAAATGATATATTGATATTATTTTTATATTGTAAGTAATTTTTATTAGAATTTTCCTTCATTTGTAATGGAGCCGAAAAGTCACTATTTTTGGCTTGAGAATATGATGGGATAAAGCAAAATAGCTCACTAAATTGTATGTGTTTCTTTGTTACGAAGCAACAGTCAGGCCATGCAATTTTCACCCCGGGTCATCCAGAAACAGTCTATGTACTTTAGTACAGGGCTATGAAGAACAAATACTTCACTAGAGTGCCGTATCGGCACAGATACTCTAGGATACCCATATCGTACGTTCTCGGGCTGTATCTGCAATTTTTAAAAGTTTCCATTTTTTGGAAATTATTTTAAAACTTTGGATACTCGTATCCTGACGGATACCCGTATCACTTTTTATTTTAAAAAAAATTCTTCCAAAAAAAGTTTTTTAAAAAATACTCAGAACTTACATACGGAGTAATAAAATTCTTAAAAAAATAAAAAGTTAAAAATAACTTTTACCTTCCTTTTATGTGGTACACAACTAATAGGCATATTCCTAATTCACCCATCCTCATATCCCTAATTCTAATTATCCCTGAAAATTAATAGCTCCAACGGAAATATGTATTAGAACTTTTAAAATATTGTTTTCTATCTTCATTATTATAGAACTTTGAGTACTTGCACTTTTAATTTCAAAACTGCAGTTGTTTGACTTATTTCTCATTTTAAATTAATGACTTATTGACTATATTTATATTTCGAGATGCACTAGTGTATATGAGATAAAATATGAGTTTATTTCTAAATATCTTGAAAATGTAAAATGCTTCAATGCCATGAATGAATAGACGTCAGAGGATAACATATGTCTACTTAAAAATTGTATTTTTAATATTTATAAATACACCCCCATAACTTTTAATATTTATAAAAACACCCCCATAACTTTTAATATTTATAAATATGGCCCCGTATCCGTATCCTACTTTTTTTGGTTTTGTCGTATCCGCGTACCTGTTTCCGCGTACCCTTATCGGTGCTACATAGGTACATGGGTATGACTGCGTACATCAGGCCCTCCTTACCCCACCGTAGGTGAGCCTTTTAGGCACTGGGATAATGATGATGAAACATTTTTTATAAGAATATATCTTTGATCAAAGCTTAACATTTGACCCAAAAAATCATATGTTGAAAATTTTAAAGGCCCAATCGAAAAAAGTTTGATGGGAAACAACGAAAAATGTTTTTTCTATTAGATGGCCCAATCGAGGGCGTAGCCATACGGGAGAGGTCCCAGGTTCAACTTCAAATAATGACATGGAGTGAAACTTCAATCTCTTTCAATTAGAATATAATCAAAATTCAACTTGCATCTTCTCATATAGCAGTCTCGTCCGTTCAAGGGCACTCAGAGATAGGGCGTCACATTTTTTTTCTATTAGATGACTTATTGGACATGAACAAGGTGGTCAATCATCAAAGACATGAAAATGCACCAATGAAGAAAAAGTGACGTGAAATGAGAAAATGCAAAAATTTGAAATGAAAACGATTAATAATATTATACTCCGTATAAAAAATCGTTCACGTTAATATGTCACCAATATAGACCTACAGTAAAACGCAGGTAGCATCAAAATATTATTCCGTATGAAAGAAGTTGCTCAACTGAGAGTAAAATATTAAACAAAATGCCAAAGTATGACTTAATTATCCTTTATTTCTAAAATGTGAGTTATCTAGTCTTTTTTTTTTTTTTTGAAAGGAAGTAATATTCTTTTGAAAATCACCTTTTCATGCCGATGCTTAATTGACATTTTCTTTTACATGTCATTGGTGGTCAAATCTCCGCTTAACCACTTTTTCCCTGCTACCTATGTGTTATGCGAAGAGCATCCCATTGTTTCACGGTTTTTTGGATGAAATGTAAATCCATAAAGGAAATTTCTACGGTACCTCTTATCTTTAAGTAGGTACCGTACCTTTGCCTCGTTGGATCAATCAAAACGTTACACCTGGATTCTTTAAACACGTATCCAAGCTCATTTATTTGCATATCGATCCCGAACAGTGAAGCTTTACTTTTTGACGGAAGAATTGAAGGGTGAAATTAAAGGGAGAAGCATCCGCTAACTGTCGCAGGACTCAACAAAGAGGGGCTGCGGTGCTGTATTCTCGAAGACGAACGCTGAGAAAGGAGATGCCGCATTTTCTCTTCCGCTGAGATGCCGTATTTTCTCTTCCAATTCGCTAGCCGCGCTCAAGTTAGACTAACGCGGCGTTGCCGTCATAGTTGTCTCCTCTTGAGTTTACCGGCGGCCAGCAGACTACGGGTTTCCTTTGCTCGGCGGCGGCCGCGGAACTGCTGGGTTCAGCTGATAATGAAGGTAGTTTTTCCTTATTCTCTTTCAATTTTCCTCAACTTTGCCTATGGCGAATACAGTGGTATGTTAACCGTTCATCAATTATATTTGAATGCAGTGGTATGCTCTTGCATCATCATTTCTGATTATTATCTAAATGTGAAAACCTATTATGAGTGCAAACTTTAAATTCAATTGTGATGATTAGCTATAAACGAGGTTTCAAAATAGAAATTGCATTGGACCGGAATAAGAACATTAAACCCATAAACTGAAACCAAACCTTTATATTACTAGCCTGGTCATTTATGCTATCAAATGTGGAGGACCTGAATTGCATAACCCAAAGGAAACAAATATAAAAGTTTAAAATGGCAGAGAAACTGAAGATGGTGTTTCATTGATAAATGATTTTGTTTTGTGAAATAGCAGCCTTTGTGTTGACATCGGTGGAGGAATTGAATAAGAAATTACAATCAACATAGAAGATGCTCCCTCCCTATACCTTTCATTTGTCTTTTCTGTTGATATACTAGTATGCGTTACTCCCGTTTTCTGAGTTTCTCTTTAGTTAAAACATTTTAATTTTTACACAAAGGGTTCATTTGTAGATCAAATGCATGTCACATCAATAATAAAGCGTTGTTTACTGTCCGATTTCCATTTTTAGGTAGACAAAAGGATATAAGAACATTCAGCACACTTCCCTTTATTTGTCATATATATTTAATTGTTTGGTCCCTTGTATCATAGTGTGTGCGTCTGTGCTTAAAGTTTTTGGTCCAAATAGTTGTTCTAGCCTTCCTGAACAATTCCGAAATCATTCCTAGTTTTGAATAATTAAATCACAGAAATTCAACAAGATTGTGTGTAATTTTGGTTCATTGTGGTGCTTTTAGAAATGACTTGTTTGTTTTTACTTCAACATACCTAAATGTTTCTATTTTATTTTTACAGAATCAGAATATTGGTTTAAAATGTACTAAAATCTTGTTGATCTTTCTGTTCTACTTCTAAAGTTTTTTTAATCATTGGAGAACTACTTATATGATACAAAAATCAAATCCTTGAGGCAGTTTTAATTTTTTTTATTACATCCAAATTGGCATTTTCAATTTAGCTGATGAGTTAATTGTTTTATGACCATTTTGATACCAGTATTTGTAATTTCTTTAACAGTATATAGTTATTAAACCTTTTAAACATGTTGTGACTTTTATTTGGTAGATGAATGACTATGATAGTGAAGCAACTCATAATTTGAACGAAGAAAAAGATGCAGAATCAACATTTAAAAACATTTACAGTTTCAGAGCAACAAGACATTTACTCTAATCAAAATGATTTATTTGATATCAGGGGTTTATACTCATTTACATTAAATATCAGGACAATCAAAGAATAACCACTAATACTCATTTACAATCGATATCAGTACCCTTTACTCTCTAGACAATATTTATGCTTTTCACGAGTAGAGGTCCAATACCCTTCATCTTGAGTGTTCTTACCTTCAGTTCAAGAAGAGTAGCAGCCTTCTTTTTATCAAGGTCGATGATAGTTGAAATCTTTTTCTTTAGTAGAAAGATGATATGGAGGTTTCAAAACGTGTTGTCTTATACCATGTTCCCTAGCAATACTAAGACACCTTCTCTCACCGCTCCTAAAACCCTTCATATAGGAGTGACTTCCCATAAGTTTATTAGCATAACCTCCCACTGACATGAAATTGATAGCATCCTCCACCATGCTCTTTTTCTTCCCACATTCAGGTAACTGAAGGAATGCTAAGTAGTATAGGAATTTACATAATCTGAGTGATCCTATAACCATTGAGAATTCATTTGTCAACTTCTGGATAAGCACTGAAATCTAGTTAGTCCGTGAAAATACCGTTGCATAAAGAAGAAATGATGGCTAAATCAATTATAATCTTAACTGGATGTAATGAATAAATCATTAAATACCAATCAAACATTAAGAATGCTAAGTTCATATGTGAAAAAGATTTCGTCTACAGCTATGTTGAGCACCACTTCATAGGAAAAATGTTTTGCGGTGTTCTTCAAGAAAGCAGCACGGCTATCTGATCTTCTTGAAGGTATTTAGGTAAGTATGCATATAAATGA